CATTTTAGCCAATTACAGCTAACATTTTTTATTGGAGATGAAACAGGAAGAAAACACATTTCTTCTAACTAATAATGAGGCATCAAATATTCAGCTGCTTAATGATGACATAACCCACACACAACGAGTGTTTCCTCACCTCAAAGATTCAAGCAAAGCTGCTTATTTCGAGGTGATTAAGCAGCTCTACCTCCACGCTTTTCTCATCTCTGGAGTATTCCACCTGGAGGCTTTTATGTTGGCGGGTCACGGCCGCTCGTCCCTCCCACGGCCTCGTTCCGGCGAAGACCCCCACTTCAGTCTGGCACTTTAATGACTGGAAACGAACCCAGTCTCTGCAGCACGGCCTGTTCTCAGAGGCCTGGCTGCCATCAGAGCTGCAGGTGTTTCATCTGCTCTGCTGAAGGTTAAAAGCTGGACATAAACGGATGTTTTCTTCTGAAGACACACAAACAATCCTCCCTCAGGCTGCGGTGGGGATCGGCCGTGTTAATACAGCCCAGCTCAATTACAGAGCGTGTTTCTGTGGGACAGAACCATGTAAACAGGACAGCCTCCCAGTGCTCCCAGTAGAGCCATAACCGGGGTCCGGGTCGTTAACCAGCAGCTCTGAGGCGTACATTAGAACACATCAGCGGACGCTGAGGTCATCCGCCACGGCGGCTCTCTGCTAGCTTTAGCGGGGCCTTGTTTGGCTGTCTGGTTGGTTGGAACAGAAAGTTCTGCAGGATTTGCTGCAGGAACGTTGTGAAAGCGTTCTGGTTTCAGTGAACTGACCTAAACCGGAGTTTAATTAGATTTATCTTAAGATGGATTATCACACAGGCAGCTCTTTATTCCTGAAGGTTTCTTATATAACTGCGGTTCATTATGTCTCATTTGGAAAACTTTGATTTCCTCAAAGGAAGATGCAAGAAAATCCTGAGGACGGATCTGCAGATCCGGGTTAGATCGACCTGCAGCCACTGCATAGAGAGGACATGCATTTTTATGATTGTTATTAGCAGCCAGTTTGATTTCCGTATGGTTGTTTGTGTTTCTGGAGGGAAGTCATGTGACAGTGATGCAGCAAAGGACTGGGTCGTTGATTTGAACCAGAGAAGCTTGTTGTGGTTTCAAAATAGCCAGAAAATGAAATATCACCAGAGGAAGACACACTTCTGCTAAAGCGCTAACAGCTGAGCTAACTATTCCTTTAGCGCATTTGCTAACTGGGAAAATGTTCAGTGCCGTTAGCTTCCCTTACTAGCAGCAAGAAACTTTCTGTTAAGTGATAGTTATTGATCATGTTGGATATTAGTGTTGGGCACTAATAGGTATGCTAATTGCAGACCTAATTCTTAGATTTGTGGTTTAGTACTTCTTGCTAGTGAAAACTTTAGCTTAGTTTTCCCAAAAGTAATTTTTCCAGATAAATTCTGAAACACTAATTTTCTCGGCTGTTTCATAAACTTCCAGTTGAATGAAGTTGGACATCTGTGTTGAAGATTTGGTCATAAACGTAAGAATTCTTAAAGAAGTTATCCGTTTTTATTCATGCTTTTATTTTGAAGTGACAGTTTATGCAGCAGTTGTGTTTCCTGTCGTCACATTCTCTCCTGTTCTTCCCCGGCAACTGTTTCAAACAAGAACGATCCAGGAAGAAAACAGCTGAATATCACATCAAACGCCGTTATGGAGCCTATAAATTACTGTTTCACAATTAAATTGATGCTTGAATGTTGGAGTTTCTTTAAGGCGGAAATCATTTGATTTGCCCAGAGTTAAAATGATTTAGCCCTAATGTTAGCGCTTTAACGTTAGCTTCCGCTAAGTGTTGTTTTTGTTGTTTCCCTGAATTAAGTGGATTTTTTTTAGGTTTCTTAGTCATTTTATTGATTTTGTTGCTATAAGTGATTTGAATCAAACCCTGAATTGTCATTTTGAGACAGTTTAGGGTTTGAATATTGATTATTGGGTCTCATATTCATACTTTCTTTTATTTGTATTTAGTTTAAAGCTGGAGCCTGTCCTGGTTCATCAGAGGTCAACCAGTTTATTTATCTGTTAAGCAAACCAACTAGTCGTTTGGGGATGACCTCTGACCTTTTCCAGGTTGCTGGTTGATGCTGATATTTTGTTGTTCTGGAAGCTCAAGGTTTTGGTCTGGATGATAAATGGTCCCAGAAGTTATTATGATAAATGACAATATTGTTATGAAACCATTTTGACTAACATGATGGTAATAATAATAAAGCAAGAGGACATACAGACAGATGAATAAACTTAAAATTTTAGAAACTTTTATCACTGGAAGACATTTAAATATATCAATAAATAAAATTAATCTGAGGTTTAACATCCCGTTTTGAAACAATAAATCAACCAAATTATTGAGCTGGTTTTAGTTTATTATGCGATTGATTGATTGATTGATTGATTGATTGATTGATTGATTGATTGATTGGCAGGCACAGGCCTGGTGACCAGTAAATCCCTGAAGTTATGAGACTGTACTTTCTTTTTGCCATTGATTCTCTGTAAATCTGCTGCGTTCGACTCCGTCGTCTCGTCTCATGGTTTTCTCCATCAACGTGTCTCTGGAGGATGCGCCGTCGATGGCGGCCTTTGTTTGAGCCGCTTTGTTGTCGCCGTTTCCTCATCAATATTCACGGAGTTCATAATGGATTCCCGCCGCAGCGCTGACCGCGCCGCGCCAGCCGTCTGCCAATTCCTCGTTTGTAGCTCGACTCAAGGGGGTTATTATGATCAGGCCCTGGGTGGAGAACCGCCCGACACACACACACACACACACAGACACACACACACACACACACACACACACACACACACACAGACACACACACACAGACACACACACATGGACACACACACACACACACACACACACACACATGGACACACGCACACACACACACACATAGACACACACACACACACACACACACACACACACACATGGACACACACACACATGGACACACACACATGGACACAACGCACACACAGACACACACACACACACATGGACACACACATGGACACACACACACACACACACACACACACACACATGAACACACACACACACATGGACACACACACACACACACATGGACACACACACAGACACACACACACACACACACACACACACACACACACACACACACACACACATGGACACACAGTTTCAACAAAGACACATCCTTATGGTGCGTTTTCTGAATTATTGCTGCTTATTATCTGTTTAAACTGTAATTCCTTTGTTTTCTAAATACTGAATGTTTTCAAACAAAACGTTTCATCATGTAAGATTAAAAATACATTTTGATAAAATATTTTTGTTTTTCAGTTGAAATATTTTTTCCAGTTGCTGGAATATTTAGTTGCTCAGCAACATTTAGTTTAAATTGTTAATGAAACCAAATAATTAGATTTTAGTAAATGTTAATGTTGTCAAAGTCAAGATAACATAACTGAGCTACTTCCCTCTCCTTTGCTAATTTTCTTAATTAAAACCTTTTCCTGATTTTTTTCTGGTTGTCAGTGTAAATAGTTTGTTGCAAAGCACTGCGTCCGTTTTTCGTTTATATATCAGATGTATATTTGAGATTTAGCTCATTATATTGATAACAGCTGAAAGGGATGCTAGCCCTCATTAGCCAGCAGCTTTTTGCCCTACAGCAGGAAGCTGGGGGCGGGGCATCGTCCTGCAGCGGGTCTATGTCGAGTTTATCTGGAGAGTCCATCCTGATTAAGCTGCTGATGCAGCACTCCGCCTCATCTTTCCCTCCGTCTTCATAATGACATTAACCCCCCACTGTGTCTCCATCAGCCATTAAACATGAAGCATGTTACCAGATCCTGCTCTGCTACACGTCACTGAGGATCAGTTCATCTCAGCTGGAGGCCTGAAACAGCCTGGCTGAGTCTGACCAGAGGCTGCACTGCCTGGGGATGATGATGGGGGTGGAGACGAAGGTGGAGGTGGAGATCTCTCTCAGCACTCAGGCAGCAGCTGCAGAAACCAGAACCTTCAGCTTAATGCAATAAAGTGTCTGATGAGGATCAGTTTCTATCTCTGATGGATGCTAAGAGCAGAAAGTACTTGGAGCCTTCCTCCTCTTCCTCCTGCTCCTCTTCCTCCTGTTCCTTGTCCTCCTGTCCTCTTCCTCCTGTCCTCTTCCTCCTGCTCTTCCTCCTGTCCTCTTCCTCCTGCTCCTCGTTGCGTTGCCGTCCCTGCAGACCTCTCCTCTCTGATCAGCCAGACTATATTTTCTCCATTATCGTCTCTGGAAACAAATTAAGAGAAATGAGCCATTTATGAGGGTCTGCTCAGCCTGAAGCTGTGTGTGTGTGTGTGTGTGTGTGTGTGTGTGTGTGTGTGTGTGGTGTGTGTGTGTGTGTGTGTGTGTGTGTGTGTGTGTCTGCAGTGCGGTTCTGTGGGCGACACGCTGCAGCCTCATTCGGACAGTTGTTAGCATGAACAGTGAGTGAATAAGAGTTACTTATTTTAACTCTTAAAATAAATAATATTTTGTGAAATTTGCTGATTTTTTGTATATGTAAAAGGACTGAAGTTGTTTTACTGCAGGCTGGATCTGATGTGCTGCAGCGACATCTGCTGGTCAAACTCCTGCACTTTTAAGATATAAATGACCAAATAACTTTTGCTCATGTTTTAATATTTTTAAAATAAATATTCATCTAATTTCTGTGATAACTAAGCCTTCAGTATTTGGATTAAGCAAACCAAGAGTGAATTTTCTGTAGTAAACTTGTTTCAAATTGTCTTTAAAAATTGACAAGCCTCCAAACGAGCTTCATAATCTTTTTCATCTTACATTTTTTGAAGTTATTCTTTAGTCTAAAAAAATCCTATTTCTAAGAAACTTTATGAGCCGAATTGAGCCACGCTTTGAGCAACGCTGTTTGAAACGCACTGGTTGATGTTTTGAATCCAGAAACTAACTGCTTCTCTGTTTCCTCTGTTTCAGAAGGAGCTGAGTCTTCCCAGAAGAGGCAGCTTGTAAGTACCTGAAACACTCCGTCCAATTAGAGCTCAGCTCTCACCTGGAGAGAAACAATGGGTCATGGTTAACCCAATGGGTCAGGGTTCACCCAATGGGTCAGGGTTCACCCAATGGGTCAAGGTTCACCCAATGGGTCAGGGTTAACCCATTACTTCTGTAACATCTACAGACTTCACCTTTAGATGTCACTGCTTTATCTTTGCCGCTTCGTTCAGGTCGCCTCCTGCTGGAGGTTCAGGTGAGGCGCAGGAACAGCTGCAGCTCCGTCTGTCGGTCTATTTATATCAGGTGTGTGTGTGTGTGTGTGTGTGTGTGTGTGTGTGTGTGTGTGTGTGTGTGTGTGTTGGTAATGTTTTGGACCTGCAGGATCCAGATGGTTTCCAGGAAAGTTCCTGGCTCTGTCTGAAATGATTCCCATCATGAAAAAGATTTTTCATGATGGGAATCATTTTCTGTGTCCTCTCTTGCTTCCTTCACTCCTTACTTCCTCCTGTTTTCTCCTTCTTTCCTTCTTGTTGTCTTTTCTTCCTTTCAACTCTCTGGTTCTTCCAGATTTCATATTAAAAGCCTGTATGGTAATAAATGAGGGCCAGAAAGTCTGCTTTAGCCCAAAAGTCCTGATAGTGAAGCTGAACTTCCTGTTTGTGAAGCTGAACTTCCTGTGTGTTTCAGGGTTTCTCCCTGTTGGAGGTTCTGATGTTTTTAAAAGGGGCCCGTAGGTCAGGTTCTGCCCCGGGCCTCATGCAGCCTTGGACCGGCCCTGCAGGATGAGTTCAATCTGCTGCTCTGCATTAATGAGCAACAAACAGATTTAATTCAGAGCTGCTAATGCATAACATTTCTGTCTGTTGAGTTTTTAAAACACAGAAACTGTTTGGTTGCCTGAGTTTAAGTTTCTCTGATCTCGGCGTTCATCAACTCTGACAAAACATTTCATATGATTTGATGCATCGTGTAACCGGAAAAATAATAAAACTACTAATAAAATAATATAAAACCAGCGTGATGCATGACTACTCGGCGAGCGTGAAAGCTCCTCACCGGCACATGAACTTTACAGGGCAGACAGCGCCACCCGCTGGACAGCGTGTTGGGATGTAAACGCTGCATAATTGTGTTCACAAAGATAATTGGGTCTCATCGCTCCTCAAAGCGCCACTACAAGTTATTCCTGCGGATCAGTAGAGCTGCACAACCAGAGCTAACGCCGCGGGTTCACATCCTACTTTTTCCAGAGTAGGATGTTTACATCAACTTCCTGTGAGGAAGTTGATGTAAACATCCTAAACAAACTGGACCCTCCTTTCAGTCAGGGGCCAGTTTGACTGAAAGGAGGCGCGTGATCTGTGCTGACGTAAATGTCATCCAGCTGATTGGCAGCTAATGCTCTGCTGTCAATCTGCTTTAAATGCATAAATATAAACCTACCTACTGTAATTCTTTCAGGAATAAATCTGCTCCGCCAGTGAAATGCTCAGAGCTACAGAGACGTTTACCCGCTGCAGCACTGCTGAAAAAATAAATAAATAAGGATTTTTTATTTATTTTTATTATTATTGTTATTATAAACCAAGCAGCGCTTCGCCTGGCGGGGCTACCAAAGCATGGCGGGCTGCCAGGCTTCTAATACACTGTTGTTTTGATACTTTTTGATACTATTTTATCTCCACTTTTATTTTTGCAAGTATATTCAAAATATAATTTTACTGTAGCATATATGTAACATTTTCTTATCTAATTATTTAAATCAATTTTAGAATCACTTTTGGACTCCAGAACCATTTTTTAAAAATAGTAATTTCATTTTGATTTCTAAAATTAACTAATATTAATTATCTTTTAAATAGATAAAAGAAATTATGCCAAAAATACCAAACCGTGAAAAACAAACTGGCTATAATTTTTTAAATTATTTTTATTAAAAAGAAAACAAAAATATTTGTCCCAATAATTTCCACCAGTTCTAGTGTCTGTTTTACAGTGTAATAAAACTTTCACAGTAAATTCAAGTTAAAATAACAATAACAGTTTCTAGAGACTTTCTTCAGATTGTTAAAGCCAGATGGTTTCAACCTGTTGGACCCGACCGGACCCGGTACCCTCAACCCCCCCTCCCCCCTCTGTCCTCTGGACGCCGCAGGCAGCAGAGCGTTAGCTGCTAGCAGAGGGATTAACCGGACAGCTGCAGCAGGATCGGCGCTCCGGTTCTGGGAACATGGAGGGAACCGGGTCGGCGCTGCTCCTTTCGGTCCGGACGGCTTCCCCGTGAAGGTTTTGGGTCGGGTTTCGCCCTCAGAGGAGGAACCGCTCTCAGATTTATCCTGACGTTTAGAACAGGATGTGGATTATTCCGGAACAAACAAGGAAATCCGAAATGGGATTTATGGAGCAAACTGGTTCTGAGAGAAATCTGCTGTGACTGCAGGTTCTGGATTAGCATTCAGAAACCCAAAGAAACGTTTCACCCTGAGAAGTGTGTGTGTGTGTGTGCCTGTGTGTGTGTGCCTGTGTGTGTGTGTGTGTGTGTGTGTGTGTGTGTGCCTGTGTGTGTGTGTGTGTGTGTGTGTGTGTGTGTGTGTGTGCCTGTGTGTGTGTGTGTGTGTGTGTGTGTGTGTGTGTGTGTGTGTGCCTGTGTGTGTGTGTGTGTGTGTGTGTGTGTGTGTGTGTGTGTGTGTGTGTGTGTGTGTGTGTGTGTGTGTGTGTGTGTGTGTGACATAACTCTGAGGTCATCCCTTTAAACGGAGATCAGGACAGACAGATGAGCGGCTCCACGCTGCTGGATTATCACAGATTACAGCTCAGCCTTTTGTCCCAGAACACGAGATGAAGAGGAGGAAGGAGCGCTGCGGAGCGCCTCACCTCCGCCTGCAGTAAGACGACCAGAACCAGAAATTGGATCACTTGAGCTTAATGGGAGGCAGAACCAGAGTTTAGGTTCTGGTTCTGTCTGTCCGCCTGATCATCTTTCATTGCGCATTGATCCAGTTTTGCTTCCATATTTAATGAATTTTTCTTCCTCATCTCAAACTTTTGAATTAAATTAATGATTAAATGATTATTAGCGTTAAAAAAATCTGTTGTTCTCTGGAATCGGTCAGGAAGAGTAGAGAGGACGAATCCAGACGAATTCTCCCGTTGAGTTGGTTCCTTCCACTGACAGAGAACCGGATCAGAACCGTCCGCACAGCCGCTCTGGTTCTGGACGGTTCACGAGAAAACCCAGTCTGGATGCGTCATGGCAGACCCGGCTGAGTTACTGAGGCTTTAATTAGACCGGACTCCAGTAAGTCCAGCGGTCAGAGACAGGATGTCCAAGGAGATCCTGTGGGAAGATGGCGGTGCTCGCATCATCCTGACCCAATCTGAGCTGGCGAACAGCCGGCTGACCCCCAGGTCGACCCGAGACAGAAACATTATATTCTCGTTTTAATCCAGATTCATGAGGGTCTCACGTCTCTCAGACTCGTTGGTTAATTTGTGCTGATTGATATACTGGAGGTCAGCGGACAGCTAGAAGCTCGGCCAATAAGAAACCCACCGGGCCTGAAACGCAGCCTGGAGGAACGCCACATGAAATGAACCAAAGCCGACCCGTTTTAGGAGGTTTAATCGGTGAACCAATCGGTGGCGTTGGTCTCCCATTCCTAAACGAAGATGGCGGGGCGTCTGTTTGTCATGGAGCTAAAGACTAACAGCAATAATTCTGGTTGTTTGGCGCAAGCGAATAAATGGAGGATCACCAAGCCGTACTTTCAACATGTTACTTATTCATTTGTAAACGTCAGTTCCGAACTGCTTGCTACCTGTGTAATTAATTTAGCAAGAAAATATTGAGATAATAAGTTCAGTATTTTGCTAGGAAGCTAAATATCTAGCATTAGCACAGCACCTAAATACTGAGCTTTCTAATTCAATATTTATCTTGCAGTTTAAAAATATAGCTTTAGATGTTTAGCTAGCTAAATAACAGGTTTGCTAACAAAATATTGATCTACCAAGTAAATATTTGACTTTAGCGAGAGAATGAGTATTTTGTAAACTGAACATTTAGTTTCTAAACTAAATATTTAGCAAGTGAATTAGATATTTAGTTTGAAACTGACATTTATAAGTGAATAACATGCTGAAAACACATAAGCTCCATTTTTCCCCTTTGACAGGCTGAATAACCCAAATTATTTCTGTTAATTTGACTGTCAGTGTGGAGAACCTGAGCGCTGGCAGTGGCTCTGATTGAACCCAGAGGTTCTTCTGGGTCCAGCTGGACTGGTTCTGAGTCTCATGGTTCTGCATTAAATTCTCCTGAATATTTGGGGTTTTCCTGTGCTGCGGCCGTTGCTCAAGCCGTTGCTCTAGCCGTGGCGACGCTGAACACGTTGAAGCGGTGGACACCCAGCGGGTTGCAGGCCTCCACCCTGCAGTTCTCCTGGACTGGCTGCAGAGAAGCTTCTCCATCCCTGGATCCTTCGCTCACAGCTTGAACTGAAGGCAGAAAAATCCAAACTAAAGCTTTTCTGTCCAAAAGCAGCAGAATCAGTTTTCTGAGGGGAAGCGAACGCATCGTGATTTGAGAGCAGTTCGTGTTTCGTTATCAAGTTGTGGATTATTTACATCTCAAATGTTTAGGTGGAGTTTACGATAATAAATCTAAATTCCAGGTCTGGAAACGGATCATTATGTAGCTGCAGTTCCCACCAGGTGCCACTAGAAGGCTCTGCAGTCCTCTCCACTCTTCCCCCCTCTTCATCCTCTCTTCCTCCTCCTCTCTTTCTCTCTCGTCAGAGTCTGGTCACCGGCTCAGCTGCGTTGCCACGGCAACAGCAGCTTCCTCCTCCATCACCTGCTGTCCCCCACCTCCTTCCAGCCCTCCTCTCCCTCCTCCTCTCCCTTCTTTCCCTGCGACGGCCCTCTCTCCGCCCCTGCTTACCTGCCAGGAAACCCCTTCCTCTGGAGGTAAGCCCCGCCCCCTCCCACCTGTAACACTCCTGATTGGTCCAGAGAGCCGCCTGCAGACATGCTGGTGGGTTTAAACACTTTCAGATCAGCATAGCAGGAAGTGGACTGCAGCGCAGGGCATTCTGGGTAACACTAGCATTAGCTTAGCGCTAGCAGGAGAAACGACTGGTGGTATTTTACCAGAAATCTGACGCCTCAGTTTCTGATTCCATCTGGTGGAGCAGGAAGTTGCTCTCTGCATCTTCAGAGGTTTTTGTGTCGTTTCCTGCCGTGGTTCTTGGTGCAGCGCCCCCACAGGCCAGGAGGGGAACAGGCTGGTCTGACTCAGAGCGACTGGAGAACAAAACGTACCGAACTGTCAGGAGGAAAAACGCTCCGATTGTTTCCTCTTTTGGCTTCTGGAGACGTTAAGACTGATCGACGCTGGGATGGTTTTGGTGTCTGAGCAGCAAAATCTGCAGGTTTAGTTCAGCAGCTGGTGGAAGCAGAAAGAGCAACTCTGGGAAAACTAAATCCATCAGAGTTATGGATCAAACTTTTATCAGATCTGATCTGAAAATCCTCTCTGCTCATGCGGCGTTAACTGCTCCACATCTTATTTATTGTTCTGTTATAAACATGGAACTGAAGAGGTTATAAATATGAGTTCAATAATGTCACAAAATCCATTTTCTCTTTGCTCAGTTAATACTTAATGCAGTTGACACAAAATAATAATTAATAATGCAATGATGGGTTTTTTTAAATGTTGAGAAATGTAATCCTTCGTTATAAAAAGATGGCCGGTTCTTTTGTGAAAAGAACTTATCTGCTTATCAATTAAGTAATGAAATTAATCAACTCTTTAGATTATCTCATTAATGGTAACATGCATCTGTAGTGAGGAAAAATAGAAGAGACCAGCACAGAAAAAGGCCCAATATATAGAATTTGACAAGTCTTAAAAATATACATATACAATAATCATGCTGCAAATCTTCCAGATCTCATTTTGAACATTTAATATACATTTTAGTTGTTTAAACAGGCACAGTAGTTTTACCCTGGATAGAAATATTAAGACATATCAAAGACGTTCTCACTACAGGTGGCGCTGTTTCCTCTGAATGCTGCTCTGAAGGGTGTGTGTGTGTGTGTGTGTGTGTGTGTGTGTGTGTGTGTGTGTGTGTGTGTGTGTGTGTGTGTGTGTGTGTTGACGTCACGTCGGCTGCTGCATGTCGGGAGGATTTTGAGGTTCTGGAAGAATCGTCCGGTTCTGGAAGAATCGTCCGGTTCTGGAAGAATCGTCCGGTTCTGATCCGGGGGAAACAGACCGGAGAGAGGAGGGGGGCGGGGGGAGACGGTCGCCACGGCAGCAGCTTCTGCACGCGCTCAGTGCGGCTGCTGACAGGTTGGAGTCGTCGTCATAGCGATGCCGCTGGAGCCTCAGCATGTCTGAATCCTGGACGGTTCAGTCCAACTTCTCACTGCCAGAGAGAAACATGCTGCGGCGCTCCGAGAGGTACGTCTGCATCCAACCGTCCATCCAACCGTCCATCCAACCGTCCATCCAACCGTCCATCCAACCGTCCATCCAACCGTCCATCCAACCGTCCATCCAACCGTCCATCCAACCGTTCATCCAACCGTCCATCCAACCGTCCATCCAACCGTCCATCCAACCGTCCACCCAACCGTCCATCCAACCGTCCACCCAACCGTCCATCCAACCGTCCATCCAACCGTTCATCCAACCGTCCATCCAACCGTCCATCCAACCGTCCATCCAACCGTCCATCCAACCGTCCATCCAACCGTCCATCCAACCGTCCATCCAACCGTTCATCCAACCGTCCATCCAACCGTCCATCCAACCGCCCATCCAACCGCCCATCCAACCGTTCATCCAACCGTTCATCCAACCGTCCATCCAACCGTCCATCCAACCGCCCATCCAACCGCCCATCCAACCGCCCATCCAACCGCCCATCCAACCGTTCATCCAACCGTCCATCCAACCGTCCATCCAACCGTCCATCCAACCGCCCATCCAACAGCCCATCCAACCGCCCACCCAACCGTCCATCCAACCGCCCATCCAACCGCCCATCCAACCGTTCATCCAACCGTCCATCCAACCGTCCATCCAACCGTCCATCCAACCGCCCATCCAACCGCCCATCCAACCGCCCATCCAACCGTCCATCCAACCGTCCATCCAACCGTCCATCCAACCGCCCATCCAACCGCCCATCCAACCGCCCATCCAACCGTTCATCCAACCGTTCATCCAACCGCCCATCCAACAGCCCATCCAACCGCCCACCCAACCGTCCACCCAACCGTCCATCCAACCGTCCATCCAACCGTCCATCCAACCGTCCATCCAACCGTTCATCCAACCGTTCATCCAACCGCCCATCCAACCGTCCATCCAACCGCCCATCCAACCGTCCATCCAACCGCCCATCCAACCGCCCATCCAACCGCCCATCCAACCGCCCATCCAACCGTCCATCCAACCGCCCATCCAACCGTCCATCCAACCGCCCATCCAACCGTTCATCCAACCGTTCATCCAACCGTCCATCCAACCGTCCATCCAACCGTTCATCCAACCGCCCATCCAACCGTCCATCCAACCACCCATCCAACCGTCCATCCAACCGTCCATCCAACCGCCCATCCAACCGTTCATCCAACCGTTCATCCAACCGCCCATCCAACCGTCCATCCAACCGTCCATCCAACCGTCCATCCAACCGTTCATCCAACCGTTCATCCAACCGCCCATCCAACCGCCCATCCAACCGTCCATCCAACCACCCATCCAACCACCCATCCAACCGTCCACCCAACCGTCCATCCAACCGTCCATCCAACCGTCCATCCAACCGTTCATCCAACCGTTCATCCAACCGCCCATCCAACCGTCCATCCAACCGTCCATCCAACCGTCCATCCAACCGTCCATCCAACCGTCCATCCAACCGTTCATCCAACCGTTCATCCAACCGCCCATCCAACCGTCCATCCAACCGTCCATCCAACCGTCCATCCAACCGTCCATCCAACCGTCCATCCAACCGTCCATCCAACCGTTCATCCAACCGTCCATCCAACCGTCCATCCAACCGTCCATCCAACCGTTCATCCAACCGTCCATCCAACCGTCCATCCAACCGTTCATCCAACCGTCCATCCAACCGTCCATCCAACCGTTCATCCAACCGTTCATCCAACCGCCCATCCAACCGTTCATCCAACCGCCCATCCAACCGTCCATCCAACCGTCCATCCAACCGTCCATCCAACCGTCCATCCAACCGTTCATCCAACCGTTCATCCAACCGCCCATCCAACCGTTCATCCAACCGTCCATCCAACCGTTCATCCAACCGTCCTCCGAGGCGCTCCGGGTTTCTCTGTGGTTTGTGTCGGCATGGTGACGGGAAGCTTCCTGATGCTGTTTGTTGAGGAGATGCGTTTCATCCCGTCTCCTCGTCTGACAGGAAGCAGGAGATTCAGAGCAGCTGATTTCTTCTTCTGTTCTCCCGCTGGGCTCCAGAGTCACTGAGCTCCACCATCTTGGATCATGCAGGAAACATGGGCTGCACTGACTAGTTTTCTGACCTGCTGATTCTCAGTTTGGTCAATGCTCTTGTTTTATCTTTATGTCTGAATGTTGCTTGGTGGTAACTGTGGTTGATTTTTAGACCCGTTCAGAGGCTGATCAGATTGTTTGATCAGATCGTTTGATCAGATCGTTTGATCAGATCGGCCGATCCTGATCTCCCAGTATGAGGAAATCGCGGCAGATTTCTTGGTGCATGCCGACAGGATGCCATATCACACCGGTGAATGAAACTTTGTGGTGATGTGCTAATTTCATGCTGTAAATCCGTCACGGATGTAGAGATGAAGGCAAACATGTCAGGAAGCGTAGCAACTGAGAGGCACCGTGTGGTGATGCTTCCTGTAGCTCAGCTGCTTTCCAGGCTGGAATCAGCTGATTTCTGTGATATGGAAACGACGCACATGCTTTCTCCCGGTGTACTATAAGCCTGGCGGGCCACCAGGCTTTACTGGTGCTACTTAAGCATTGCTCATTTATTTCAATCTTTTTAAAATGTTTGCATTTTTAAGACTTTAAAGTTGGTGTTCAGGTATTAATCTTCCAATCTTTCAATAACACATAATTTCATATTTTCAAACTCAAAACCATGACGAGCCGCTGGATGAGTGGCTGCCCCAGCGCCCAGCCACCGGACTTACCAGGTCTTCTGGGGGAAACCTTGGATGCCGCAGCGTCTGCAGTGTTTTGGCCTGCAGCTGCTGTACCGCCGTTACCTGGTCAGAAAGAACCAGCCCGTCAGCCACGGCAACACCGACGTCTTCTACAAAATAACTAGCTCGAGTTTCACGAAACGGGAAAAATATTTCCTTCCTGACCCGTTTATTGGGGCGAAAAGATACGACAAAGAACAAGCTAGCTAGCTGCAGCTAGCCACGCCTGCTAGCTGTTCAGCATTTATTTGTTTGAGATGAAACTGTGACGTCGTTATTTAAAAGCAATGTAAAACTAGGCTGATATTTTATAACCTCAGACCTGCTTCAGGCTCTGCTGCGTTCAGGAACCCTGGTTTTTCTGAGCTTCTGCTAGCGTAGCATTTACAGGCTGCAGGAAGCCTGAGTTCTGATCTGCATCCAAACCCAAGCATTGATTTCACCAGCTGGACACTTTGAGCCACCCAACCTGGCAACCCGCGGCTCAACCTGGCAACCCGCGGCTCAACCTGGCAACCCGCGGCTCAACCTGGCAACCCGCGGCTCAACCTGGCAACCCGCGGCTCAACCTGGCAACCCGCGGCTCAACCTGGCAACCCGCGGCTCAACCTGGCAACTGATGAAAACGTCTGTTTCTGTATAATCTCTGCTCAGTTCTGACTGTAACGGCGGCCCATGTATCGCCTCAGTGTATGTAAATATTTGAGCTGTATTGAAGCAGGAACAGAGTCCAGTTGGTTCTGGTTCTGGAGGTGTTGAAGCGTCTCCAGTCACCAACGCTAATTACTGTGTGTTACCGTGTGTGTTCTGACCAGAACCAGAACCGCCAGCCGGGTCCGGGTTTGAATCCGTTTTGTTTCTATTCTCAGTAAAATAAATGAATTCTTTTCTTTAATACTGTGTTTGATTATTTTATGATCTTGTATTTCTTGTAAAAGATTTCTCAGGAATGTTAGAAAAGCCTTATATGAACAAGTTAACTGAGAAGTTCCAGAATCTTTGTTATGTTTTCTGCTTGGTGGAAGCGGAGCCTGAAACGCCTCTCCGCTAACAGCAGCGATTGTCCCGTCTGGGCTTCACCGTGGGTCTGGGCAGCGATTCCCAGACGGGACAATCGCTGCTGTTAGCGGAGCCTCTCACCTGTGCTGACCTGCTGCTGACCTGCTGCTGACCTGCTACTGACCTGAAGCTGTGTGTTTGTGTCCACAGCTGCCGGGCCAGCAACAGGAAGAGCCTGATCGTGACGTCCAGCACTTCCCCGACTCTTCCTCGGCCGCACTCCCCTCTACACGGACACACAGGTAAGACCTGCACCGCCTCCGACCAGCAGGGGGCAGAGTGCCTTTTAATCATCACTCTGGATCATTTCTTTCATGAAACCTTCAACGGGCGGCTTCACTACGCTAATCGCTGTTTTTCTGGATTAAAGTGAAAATATTAACATTTAGGAAGACAAAGCAAAACATAATTGTTGAGTGAAGCGCCACCTGCTGGACGGTCAAGACTAAATGTGTGACCTGTGCCGGCTGGTAAAGCGGCAGGGAGGAAGACTCTGGTTCTGAGGAGATGAAGATCAGTTGGACCCAGAATAGATTAGGTTCAGCTTATTAAACATTCACAGGAAGCAGCAGTGATATTCTCCTCCTGCATCCTCTGAGGCTGTGTTGCTGCGGTAACGCTGTCAGTGACCTTGACCCATCATAGGAATAATGGGGCTGCTGAGGCGACCTTAAGGTGTTCAGGCGACCTTAAGGTGTTCAGGCGACCTTAAGGTGTTCAGGCGACCTTAAGGTGTTCAGGCGACCTTAGTGGCCCTGCTATTGACCTTAATGTTTGTGGTGCTGACCCTGATGACCTTGTGACCTTCCTGTCAGTCGCAGCCATTCTCCGGTTATTTCTGTTTTCTTATCTCTCTCTCGGCGTCAGCCTGCAGGAATAGTTCTGAGGTTCTGCTAAACTGGGTCACTGCAGTTCACTGCAGGTCACCATGGGTCACTGCAGGTCACCATGGGTCACTGCAGGTCACCATGGGTCACTGCAGGTCACCATGGGTCACTGCAGGTCACCATGGGTCACTGCAGGTCACTGTAGGTCACCATGGGTCACTGCAGGTCACCATGGGTCACTGCAGGTTACTGGAGGTCACTGTAGGTCACCATGGGTCAATGCAGGTCACCGTGGGTCACTGTAGGTCACCATGGGTCACTGCAGGTCACTGTAGGTCACCATGGGTCAATGCAGGTCACCGTGGGTCACTGTAGGTCACTGTGTTGCTGATATCAGTAATAATCAATCATTGTTGCTTTAAACCCAACAGAACCAGATTCTCTGTTCTGCCTTTTTCCAAACTGTTTGACGTCCAAAAGGTTTTAATGATTAAATGCACAATTCAGAAAAACCTGCAGAAACTACATTTAAACAAAACAATTCTTCAATCCTAGTTTACAGTTTTCTGAATTTTCATTGATTTGAAGTGAAATATTTTCCAAATACAATGTGTTTTTGCATGTTTTTAGCTAAATACTGCATGAAACAATACTAAACATATCCAGATATTATGATTATCTGACGTTAAGCTGCTGCCAGTCTGGATGTGTTGATGTGGATCAGATGGCGAAGAAAGTAAACTCATTTTTGTTCTTTATTTTGTCATAATTTTAAGTCTATTTAGTAATAAAGCTAATTTTACTGGATGGATAAACTTCGTTCTGAAACATGTTTCAGGGTGGATCATGTTGGGCTGCAGCAGCTGCAGAGTTGTTGGAGATGAAATGGACAGATTTTGTATTTTGCCCTTTTCTGTGTCTTGCAGGCACCAGCCCACTGGACAGCCCTCGCAACTTTTCCCCCAACGCAGCGGCGCATTTCTCCTTCGTTCCGGCTCGCAGGTGAGATCTTCCTTCACCTGAACAGAAACGCCGCAGAGCTGCTGGGCGTTGAACCGCAGCGTCCTGCTTGGGCTCTCTGCAGTAACAGCTGTCTGAGATCTGCAGCAAACAGAGACGCTGCTCTGCAGCTCATCCTGTGAACAACGTCGTTAAAGTTACTGCGACTAATTTTATTGCAATAACTTCTCGTGTCTCATGACAGGAAGAAATGTAATTTCACTTCATAAGTAATATTTTCATTGTTTCTATAAACGTTAGTTTGAAAAAGTCTTTAGGTAGCAGGCTAAATATTTAGCTTCTAATCTTAGCAAACTGGCTAACTTCACTTTTAGCTCCATACTTAGTATTTAGTTAGTTAGGACCTAGTTTAACTAGTTATTTAGCTTGTTAGCCAAATATTTAGCTTCATATTCAATCTTCAAACTGTAAGCTAGCGGGCTAACTGTTTATCGTGCCGACTGAATATCTGTCTGCACTGCAGTAATTGGCTGTATTTTTAAAGATGGCTGCCCTTGATGCTGCAGCCAAAGATGCAGTGGATCGCCGGGAGGCGTCACTCTGTCTGGGATTAATAACTCTTGTCTCTCAGCTCTCCTCCAGTCTGCTGACAGTTTCAAATCTCAAAAGTTCAGATCGACTTTCCCCATTAAAAAGAAATGACCGTGTTTCCAAGGAAACGCCTCATTCCCCAGGTATTTCCATGACAACCCATCAAGCATTTCTGGCTGCAGCAGAGCAACGAGCCGCTGATTTAAAATCCATTTCTGTCCCACTGCTGCTGGGGCTGGGACGACGGCGCCGCCCTGTGGCGGAGCCGCGCGTCGCACGCAGCACTTTTATTAATATCTTGTTGTGGATTTAATCAGGGAAACATTCGTTTGATGAACCATGAAATAAAAATGTTTTGTTTTCCTCACAGCCACGGACACAGAGCCGACAGGTAACTGACGCACCTGCCTCTGTCTGCATCCAACCTGCTTTCACTCAGACCTCTGCTCAGCAGCTGCGTCTCCTGAAATCTCACCAATTTCAAATAAAACATGATTTTCCATATAACCTTTGTGAAGCAAATCATATTTACTTCACAAAACAAAGGAACTTATTTCCCATTAGTGACCAGCAGCCGGATGTTGCTGCTGCTGGAAACGCCGCAAACAGGAAGTGGTCAGAAGTAGGCGGGGCTTGAATCTGACTCAGACATCTCCTATGATTGGCTGGATTATGAACATAATCTGCTTACATCATGATTTCTATTGATTTATATCGGAGACAAACTTATGGGGCTTAGTTTATTTGTTCAATTATGTTTTATTGAAAGGAGACTTGGCTGGTGGCGGATTCGCTCCTTCTGTTCATGCTTCATATCTCTGTTCTGATTGGCTGTTAAATCCTGAGGTTCTGATTGGTTGATGTGTCTCCTGCAGGACCGATGGCCGCCGCTGGTCTCTGGCCTCGCTGCCGTCGTCTGGATACGGAACCAACACGCCGAGCTCCACCGTCTCCGTGAGTCCGCCGCCCCGCAGGCAGGGGAAGAAAGTACACCCCACGGGCAGGAAGGGATAGAAAGTACACCCCACAAGCAGGAAGGGATAGAAAGTACACCCCACGGGCAGGAAGGGATAGAAAGTACACCCCACAAGCAGGAAGGGATAGAAAGTACACCCCAAAAGCAGGAAGGGATAGAAAGTACACCCCACAAGCAGGAAGGGATAGAAAGTACACCCCACGGGCAGGAAGGGATAGAAAGTACACCCCACAAGCAGGAAGGGATAGAAAGTACACCCCAAAAGCAGGAAGGGATAGAAAGTACACACCACGAACAGGAAGGGATAGAAAGTACACCCCACGAACAGGAAGGGATAGAAAGTACACCCCACAAGCAGGAAGGGATAGAAAGTACACCCCACAAGCAGGAAGGGATAGAAAGTACACCCCAAAAGCAGGAAGGGATAGAAAGTACACACCACACGAACAGGAAGGGATAGAAAGTACACCCCACAAGCAGGAAGGGATAAAAAGTACACCCCAAAAGCAGGAAGGGATAGAAAGTACACACCACGAACAGGAAGGGATAGAAAGTACACACCACGAACAGGAAGGGATAGAAAGTACACCCCACAAGCAGGAAGGGATAAAAAGTACACCCCACAAGCAGGAAGGGATAGAAAGTACACCCCACGAACAGGAAGGGATAGAAAGTACACCCCACAAGCAGGAAGGGATAGAAAGTACCCCCTGCGTCTCCGTCCTGCTGTTGTCCCAGCACCGTCTGGAGAACTGGTCCAGTTCATCCCAGTTCCTCCTGGTCTGATTTCATTGGGATTTAATCTGGATTTTTTCTGGATTTGGTTCTTTTTGCAAACTAATTTTCACGAGATGTATTTTGGGTTTCATTCTGTTTCATCTCCGTCTTTAATCTGGTTTCACTTTGCTTAACTGGTTTCATCCCAGTTTGAACTGGTTTCTGTTTATTCCTGTTGTGTATTTTAGCTGGAGTTCATCCCTGCCTCTCTCTTCTTCTTCTTCTGTGGTTTTTAGCCCTGAATCGCAGCCTCCCTGCCCCGCCCCGCCCCCACCTGTAGCTGCCGGTTGTAATCTGTGCTCCCTCTGTGCTCCTCCTCTCACAGTCCTCCTGTTCATCTCAGGAGAAGCTCCACCAGCTGCCCTTCCAGCCCACGCCGGACGAGCTGCACTTCCTCACCAAACACTTCAGCTCTGAGAGCGTCACCGACGAGGAGGGCCGCCGCTCGCCCGCCATGAGGCCGCGCTCCCGCAGCCTCAGGTACCGCCGCCGGTTCCGGCCCGGTTCTGCAGGAACCGCTAAACCTCCTGTGTCTGAGCTGATGGCTGTGAACCACAGAGTCACTTCAGTTTTATTGTCATAGGGATTAATCCTCCTGAGGCGGCGGCTCGTTTTAAATATTGATCATCATCTGATATTAACAAGTAATATGATGATTTAAAGCAGGAGTGTCAACATCCAGTCCTGCAGGGCTGCTGTCCTGTAACCTTTGGTTGAGCCTCTGCTGCACCTGAATGGAATAATGAGGTCATTGAGGCTCTGCAGAACCAGGAGGAGGAAATTAAAACAATTCAATCCTGTGTTTTGTTCCTGAGGCTCATCGAAAAACTGCAGGACAGCTGGAGGACTGGAGTTTGACACCCCTGATTTAAACCAATAATTTTATTTTTTCCATCTGAATTTATTTCAGTTTTACTAATATTCTCTCATTTATTAATTTATTAATTTGTATAGTTAATAAAATAAAATAAAATCCAGTTTTTACTGAAAGGAAAAGTTCAGTCTGGAGACCAGGTGTGTGTGTGTGTGTGTGTGTGTGTGTGTGTGTGTGTGTGTGTGTGTGTGTGTATGTGTGTGTGTGTGTGTGTGTGTGTGTGTGTGTGTGTGTGTGTGTGTGTGTGTGTGTGTGTGTGTGTGTGTGTGTGTGTGTGTGTGTGTGTGTGTGTGTGTGTGTGCGCCTATGTGTATGTGTGTGTGTGTGTGCATGTGTGTGTATGTGTGTGTGTGCATGTGTGTGTATGTGTATGTGTATGTGTATGTGTGTGTGTGATGATAAATTGCATGACGTTTTCTGCCACCTCTCATTAAGCAGGTAATTGGAGTCTGAGCTGCTGATAAATTACTTCAGGCATTACCTCATCGCTCACATGATCTCTCTGTGTGTGTGTGTGTGTGTGTGTGTGTGTGGTGGGTGGGTGGGTGGGTGGGTGGGTGTGTGTGTGTGTGTGTGTGGATGACTCATCCTGGATCTCAGTCTCTTAGTGTTTTTTTCTTACATTTTAATTTTTTTGCCATTATTTACTTTTTAAGCTGCAGATATTTTATTTCCTTGATAATTTTCAGATTTTTAACCTTTTAAATAATTATTATGAATCCAGAATCACCAGAATAAAATGATAATTTGTAATTTTTTGTCAAATCAAATTTTCTTGTATTTTCCTGCTTTTCCACACCAACATTATGATCTTTAGCTAATGCTAAGTGCTAGCTTATATTTAATTTATTTATTGATTTACTCCAGATTAACTTGTGGATTATAATTTACATGTTTTGTTTTTTTCTAACTTTCTTGATTTAAATAAATTTACAGTGAAGAAAAGCCTGAATATAAACGTCTCACAATAACCAAGATTTCAACTCTGATGTTGAACTTTATTCACATGAACAAATGAGCAGGAAGCGCTAAACCGCTAAGCTAACAATTACCATCAGCTGATGTCTCAGGAAAATACACGATGAGATTCATGTTGTTTCTTTCCTGTTGCATTCAGTGATTTTTCATTCCTTTGCTGACGTTTGGTGTGTCTGCAGCCCGGGTCGCTCGCCGGTTTCCTTCGACCACGAGATCATGATGATGAACCACGTCTACAAGGAGCGCTTCCCGAAGGTCCGCAAAATCTAATGATCCCATTTACAGAAATCAGACATTCATGGTTCCTGTAGTCGCCGTTTGAGTGATGTGGCGTTATAAGCCCCTCCCCTCTGTGTGACTCCGCCCCCAGGCCACGGCCCAGATGGAGGAGCGTCTGGCCGAGCTGCTGGCCTCGGCGGCGCCGGAGAAGGTGCGTCCGCTGGCCGACGGGGTCCTGAGCTTCGTGTTCCACCAGCTGATCGAGCTGTCCAGGGACTGCCTGGACAAAAGCAGGCAGGACCTCATCACCTCCAGATATTTCTACGAGCTGCAGGAGAGTCTGGAGAAGCTGCTGCAGGACGTGAGTCTGGAGTCCGGGTCGGTCGGTCTGGGTGGGTCGGTCGGGTGTCGGTCTGGGTTCGGACCGGTCCGGGCCGGTTCGGACGGTCCGGGTTCGGTCGGTCGGGCCGGTTCGGACGGTCCGGGTCGGTCGGTCCGGGCCGGTTCGGACCGGTCCGGGTCGGTCGGTCCGGGCCGGTTCGGACCGGTCGGGTTCGGTCGGTGGTCGGTCTGGGCCGGTTCGGACCGGTCCGGGTTGGTCGGTCTGGGCCGGTTCGGACCGGTCCGGGCCGGTTCGGACCGGTCCGGGTCGGTCGGTCCGGGCCGGTTCGGACCGGTCCGGGTCGGTCGGTCCGGGCCGGTTCGGACCGGTCCGGGTCGGTCGGTCCGGGCCGGTTCGGACCGGTCCAACCGGTCCTTCGGTTCGGACCGGGTCGGTCAGTCTGGGCCAGTTCGGACCGGTCCGGGTCGGTCGGTCTGGGCCGGTTCGGACCGGTCCGGGTCGGTCGGTCTGGGTGGGTTCAGACCGGTCCGGGCCGGTTCGGACCGGTCCGGGTCGGTCGGTCCGGGCCGGTTCTGAACATTGAGACGCATTCAGCTCCTGCTTTAACATTTTTGCCTCTGATTAAAACTCCTGATTGGAGCAAAATTAGAAACAGACCAAATAAAAATCAGGTTTCAGCTTTTAATAATAGCCAAATATCGTTATATTAGTTTTATTGCGTTAAAGTTACAACACCTGAGTGAATTTAACAAATGGAAAAGTGATTAATTATTCCAACTGTCGTGAAAGAAAATAAGTCCGCCAGCCGTTTTCATCCGTTTTTTAAGCGTAGAAATTAAAAATTTATTGAATATTTAAATTTATGCCGTTTCCCCTAAATGGACCGACCAGAACCGTCGGACCCGGTTCCGCTCCGTTCAGCTTCGATCGGCTCAGAGCGTGACGCAACGCTCCGTCACCTTCATCACCTTCATCATCTTTGTCACCTACATCAGTGGCAGCATGATGTCACCAGCGGTCCGGTTCTCCGGACGCTCCGGTCCATTTCCTGTTTCTGAGCTGGGGGCGAGTTTCCATGGCGTGTGAGACGTCTCTATTAGCTCAGTGTGTGTGTGTGTGTGTGTTCATTTCATGGCCCGCTGGTCGCCGCCGGCTGATGGATGCCTCCCCGTCCAGCGGGGGGCGGCGGTAAGCGTGGGCGGGGCTTGAGGGAATTCCTCCTGCCGTGATTGGCTATGATTGATTCGGACTCGGAAGAGGAGGATGAAGGAGAGAACATCTGTCTGGATGACTTCAGCGGCTCTCTGGCGTTAGGCTGCATTTTGCTCTGGACGGCCTGGAACCAGAACCGGACCAGAACCGGTGGGACCTGGAAGGATGTCAGAGGAGGAGGACGGCTCACTTCACCGTTGAGTTCACGTTCTGAGTTTTGTCCAGCGGTTCTGGTTCTCCACTGGCTCCGGCTTTGGACCTGCGGTTCTGATCAGCTCCTGCTGTTCTGTGCAAAAGTTTTAAGACACAAACTGGAGGAGAAAAAGAGGAAAAATCTTCAGGAATCCTGAGAAACTTGGAGAAAAAATCTGGATGTTTGGATCCAAACCGAGTGACCCAAGACTTTTGCACGGTTCTGGACCGCTTTAGCGATTCTGCTTCCTGTTTCTTTAGTGTCTCTGTCCAAACCGAGCTGCATCACCTCCTCCCTGCCTTCATCTCTCCTCCTCACCGGGTCGTGACCTTTTGACCTACCTGGCAGGCTCCGCAACGGTTACCGTGGCGACCTGCATCCAGGTCAACATGGCATCAAACGGAGAAACACTCAACGTGATTTAAATGACCCAAAATCATTTGGATATTTGATTGGATCAGATTAATAATCTAAAACACAAACTGGGATCAAAAATAAAACTTTCTATGTTTTATTTACGTTTCTGTAAAGCCGCCGTCTCCTGAAGCATTCTGGGAGCTCCTAACAGTACAAACTAACTCATCAATGAATTTAAAAAATGTATTTTTAAGACTGTAAACTAAAGGTTTAAATGAAGGCGTCCCAGCAGAATGCCTGATGGGAAATATCTGAAATCATGTCGGCTTCAATAAACAGTCAGTGCCGCTAACTCAAGCTGTGCTAAAGCTAAAGCGCTACATTAACATGGTTTAAGCACAAGCTAGAGATAAAGAAGCATTTACAAAACTTACCTGGAAAGATTAGCTTAGCGCAAGCTAAGTGTGCTAAACATGTTCAGTTAGCTTAAGCTAAAACTAGCTCTGCTGTTAGCATATTAGCTAAAACGGCATCAAACAGACCGGGTCGATCAGAACCAGAACAGAATCTGTTTCTGATTCTCATCCATCCATATGTGTTTTCATGTCTGACCTCTGACCTCGGCTCCGATCCGGTCCAGCTGACCCGGTTCTGTGCGTTTCAGGCCCATGAGCGCTCAGAGAGTGAGGAGGTGACCTTCGTCACCCAGCTGGTGAAGAAGCTGATGATCATCATCGCCCGGCCGGCCCGACTGCTGGAGTGCCTGGTGGGAACCGGACCCGACCGGACCGGACCCGTTGTGTTCAGAGTCTTCCTCCTGACCCTCCTCTTCCTCTGCAGGAGTTTGACCCCGAGGAGTTCTACCACCTCCTGGAGGCGGCCGAGGGTCACGCCAAGGAAGGCCAGGGCATCAAGTCCGACATCCCGCGATACATCATCAGCCAGCTGGGCCTGACCCGCGATCCGCTGGAGGGTAAAGCAGAACCTCAGAATCCAGGTATGATCAGAACCCGATCAGAACCAGAGTCTGGTCTCATTCGGGTCGTCGCTGTGTCTCTGCTTCCAGAAATGACCCAGCTCAGCAGCTACGACAGCGGGAACCCAGAGACGCCGGAGACCGACGACTCGGTCGACGTGAGTCAGCGCTCAGAACCGGGCCTGTTCCCAGGTCTGGTTCTGGTTCTGATGCCTCTCTGGTCCGTTTCAGAGCCAAACCACGGCCATCCCTGCAGCGCCGCAGCCCAAACCCAAAACGCCCCGAGAGGAAGACTTCGAGAACATCAAGCTGATCAGCAACGGGGCGTACGGGTACGACCGACCGGGCCGGACCGGACCGGGCCGCACCGGGACCTACTGACCAGACCCGGTTCCATCTGACTCCCGCCTCTTTTGTCCGTCCAGCGCCGTGTATCTGGTGCGGCACCGGGAGACCCGGCAGCGCTTCGCCATGAAGAAGATCAACAAGCAGAACCTGATCCTGCGGAACCAGATCCAGCAGGCCTTCGTGGAGCGGGACATCCTGACCTTCGCCGAGAACCCGTTCGTCGTCTCCATGTTCTGCTCCTTCGAGACCCGGCGCCACCTCTGCATGGTCATGGAGTACGTGGAGGGTAAGAGACCCGCCGCTCTGGTTCTGGTTCAGTCACAGGTTCCGGTCCGAACCTGAAATATTTACCAGTATGTATCTTGGAGCTTCATGTGTAATGGTTTAGCATAATAGCTGGTAAGCTGCGTGTCCGTCTGCGGTTCGGTCCGTCCAGGCGGAGACTGCGCCACGCTGCTGAAGAACATCGGCGCTCTGCCCGTCGACATGGCGCGGATGTACTTTGCCGAAACTGTTCTGGCGCTGGAATATCTGCACAACTACGGCATCGTGCACCGAGACCTCAAACCCGACAAGTGAGACTCCCGAAGACAGAACCGTGCAGAACCTTGCGAGCCGGCCGCCCAGCTCATGCCGTCTCTGTCCTCCTCAGCCTCCTCATCACGTCTCTGGGACACATCAAGCTGACGGACTTCGGCCTCTCCAAGATCGGCCTGATGAGCCTGACCACCAACCTGTACGAAGGCCACATCGAGAAGGATACCCGGGAGTTCCTGGACAAGCAGGTACCGCTCCAGGCCCGGTCCGGATCGGGCTCGGTTCCGGTCCGGTCGGGTTCACGTGTTTTTTTTCTTCTTCGCGGCTCGTCTGCAGGTGTGCGGCACGCCGGAGTACATCGCCCCAGAGGTCATCCTGCGGCAGGGCTACGGCAAGCCGGTGGACTGGTGGGCGATGGGCGTGATCCTGTACGAGTTCCTGGTGGGCTGCGCGCCGTTCTTCGGCGACACGCCGGAGGAGCTGTTCGGCCAGGTCATCAGCGGTGAGCCGCAGCCGGAACCGGCCGCTCGGGACGGAGGCTCCCTCTGACCGACTTCCTGTTTGCTCTCCTTCAGACGAGATCGTGTGGCCGGAGGGCGACGAGGCGCTGCCTCAGGACGCGCAGGACCTGATCGCCAAGCTGCTCCGCCAGAACCCGCTGGAGCGGCTCGGGACAGGTACCGACTACACCTGCGCTTCTCCTTCCCTTCATTGCCAATATACGACGTGCTTTAATCCTTGTAAATCTGTTTTTATTGCACAACATAACCTAAAGTTTAGATTATTGAGTTTATCAGCAAAATTCAAACTGATATGTGCATTTCACAGTCTGACCACTAGATGGTGCCAAAGCACTTCTAATAGAGACTGAGAGAAGCAAATAAACCAACCAACGTTTGTAAGAATGTAGTTAGCCAGGATCTGGCTCTGGTCCTGATCCTGGTTCTGGTTCTGGCTCTGGTCCTGATCCTGGTTCTGGTTCTGGTTCTGGTTCTGGTCCTGGTTCTGGTTCTGATCCTGGTTCTGGTTCTGGTTCTGGGTCAGGAGGAGCCTTCGAGGTGAAGCAGAACTCCTTCTTCACGGATCTGGACTGGAACGGTCTGCTGAGGCAGAAAGCCGAGTTCATCCCTCAGCTGGAGTCCGAGGACGACACCAGCTACTTCGACAGTACGTCCCGGCCCGGTTCCGTTCCAGTTCTGCGTGGAGCTCACTAACCGATGCTGTGTGTTCGCCCGTCAGCCCGTTCGGACCGGTACCACCACCTGGATTCAGAGGAGGAAGACACCAACGACGACGAACACGTGGAGCTGCGGCAGTTCTCGTCCTGCTCACCGCGCTTCAGCAAGGTACCGACCCGATACCCTGATACCCGACCCGATACCCTGATACCCGACCCGATACCCGGGTATCTGCTCATCTGGCCTCTGCAGTCCCAGGGGGTTCTGGTTCTGGTTCCGGTTATTATGTTCTTCTCAGAATATAATAAAGAACAGACATAAATGTAATGAATTGAGGATCATCACATATAAATATGGCTGCACTGCCTTGAGATCAGATAGGCTGATCGATAGGCTGCCTATCGATCAGCCTATCGATCAGCCAATCGATCAGCCTATCTGATCGATAGGCTGGAAACTATCCCTGTCCCTGCAGGTGTACAGCAGCATGGAGCGTCTGTCTCTCCACGAGGAGAAGCGGACGCCGCCGCCCACCAAGCGCAGCCTCAGCGAGGAAGGAGGCGACCGCGTCAGCGACAGCCTGAGCGGACTCAAGACCCGGGACCGGACCTGGCTGGTCGGATCGCCGGAGATGTGAGTCGCCGTCGGTCACCAGCAGTAAACACTGAGCTTTTCTCCATCGGTCCGTCACGGCGGCCATCTTGTTTCACAGCTTCTATTTATGTACATTTTGAATTCAGGTCAAAGGTTATTAATATTAGAAATAATTATGAAATCATAATAAAGTCGTAATATCACCAGAATAAAGATGTAATTTCATGAACTAAATATCAAAATAGACGAATGTTTTCTCATCATTTCACCTAAACTTTCTCTTCCTGCTTCTTTATCCTGCTGATATTCTGACTTTCTTCCCATAATTAAAGAAAGTTTCCTGCAGCCTGATACTCCGTCATAAAATAAAATGAAAGACGATCATTGGTCGTTTCTTAACGACCAGAGAGCAAAGTGACGCTGTGAGCCGTTATTTTCCGTCGTGTCTCTTGTCCTTGCAGCCTGCGGAAGCGTCTCTCCGTCTCCGAGTCGTCGCACACGGAGAGCGACTCCAGCCCGCCGCTGACGGTCCGCAGGCGCTGCTGCTCCGCCATCATCGAGATGCCGCGCTTCGCCATCTCGGCCGAGGAGGAAGGAAGTGCAGGTGAGCGCAGACCGTCCGTCAGATCAGCTGCAGATCACGAGACATCAGACGCTCCCGTCACTTCCACTTAGGGTGGCTCCTTAAAAAGTCTTAAATTGGTGTCTAAAGTTAAAGCCTTAAACGTCTTAAATGCATTTAAAAATGTAAGTTGGTCTTAAATACTTCCGTTTTGTCGTGGCAGGAAGGTTTAATGTTTTTGTCTCCTGGGATTTTTCTGTAAGGCAGGTTTTAGAAACATCTTCAGTGCGTTCTGTGACTCGACGTGTTTGAGGCTACCGCTAATAGCTGCTAACATGCCCACACTAGCTAGCTAGCTAACTTTTTAGCCTCTATCATGGCATCACCCCTCATATTTATAGATTTAATTCCAGGTGGCATTAAAAGAGGTCTTAAAAAGTCTTATTTCTGATTAGCTGAAACCTGCAGATTCCCGGTTTATCCAGGAGAAATCAAGTTTGTCTCTGTCAGAAGTACTAGTTAGCCTCACTAACTAGTGAGCCTGACTCACTAACAGCTTCTTGTTTTTCCTCAAAAACAGGAATGACAACACACACCCTAAAAAAGTCTTAAATTAATTTCAGTTTTGTCTTGATTGGGTGATTTAATCTTGTATATTCTTCATATTTTTATTTTCTCACCGTATTTGAACTCAGAAATCTTTGTTGCTTTTTGTGACTCGAGGTATTTGAGGCTACCGCTACCTAGCTGCTAATATGTTCGTGCTCGCTAACATTTCTGAGTCTTTCATAGGAAAGTTTGTACTTTTCTGTAGAGATAGGGATGTCAAACTGTATTCATAAGTCTTCAAAAGGCTTAAATTTGATTTGGTGAAACCTGCAGAAATCCTGAACAGGTTGTTGCAGCTGCAGCTTGGGGTTAAAGGTCAGTCTGACAGGTCATAACCTGCTGCTGTGTGTGGTCGGTCCAGCAGGGGGCAGCAGGAAGAGCCCCAGCCTGGCGAGGGGCCCGCGCTCCGAGGAGCTGCCGCTGTCCATCCCAGAGCTCCCAGTGGAGCTGAAGCTGGAAGAGTCTCCCACCAGCAGCCAGCAGAGCAAGGCCACACGTCAGTACACACACACACACACACACACACACACAAATACACATACACACACACAAATACACACATACACACACACACACACAAATACACATACACACACACAAATACACACATACACACACACACAAATACACAGACACACAGACACACACACACACACAGACACACACACACACAGACACACACACAGACACACACACACACACACACACACAGACACACCGACACACACACACACCGTATCAACCTGTAGCACCTGGTGAAGGTCAGCATGTTCCTTTTTGCTGTTAGCCTGACTGATTAAACACAGAAACTCATAAATTCTTCCTAAATGGAGCAAAACACTAAAAATCTTTGTTGAAACACAAAAACACAACTTGGACTTTTAAATCCACATCTTGACTAAAACTTGAGGGAATTGAGACTCAGCAGAAGCGTTTTAGTGACAAATGAACCAAAGTAGCAACCGGAGCGGCCATTTTGAGCTAATTGAACCAAAACATTAAAAATGTGGGTTTTTTACCTCTAAGAAGGAATCAGGTCGAATCAAAGCTCTGATTCATATGGCAGGACTCTTTCTTATCATCTTGTTGTGAAATTTATCATCAATTTGAACATCATAAAGTCCATAAAATTGAAATAAAATAAACTTCTCTGGTTCCAACTGGAGGAATTTTGCTGACCCAAAGCTTTCAAATCCGTCACGTATTTAGCGTTAGCATGGCTCAGATGCTTGTTTAGCATATTAGCAGTTAATGAGCCTAAATTAGCACTGCTATTGATTTTACACCCACGGCGGCCATCTTGAATTTTTCAGAGGTAAATTTATTTTCTCGTTTCTTTGTAATGAGAAATAACGGCAGCAACTTGGCTCCCGGTGAAGGATGCTGCCCTGCCTGCTTAGCTGTCAGTGTCGCCGCGGTGTTCCTGATCCTCTGACCGTCAGCCTCATTGATAATAAAGATGGCCGACTCTTTGCAGCAGGAAGCTCTGGAGACGGCGGCGCAGCGACCAAGGCGGCGGCGGACGGCGACTCTCCGTCCACACCGAGGGCCATCAGCGACCTGGCGGCCCGCCGCGCGCGCCACCGCCTGCTGTCCGGAGACGCAGACAAACACGCGGCGAGCGCCCGGCCGTTCGCCAAGGTCATCAAGTCCGCGTCGGCGAACACGCTGTCGCTGGTGATCCCAGGAGGTCGGTTCGACTCCCAGAGCTGCCGGTGCCGCCGGACGTTCCTCTGACTCCTCTGTCTGTCCGCAGATCACCACGGAGCGTCGCCATTGGCCAGCCCCATGTCTCCACACTCACAGTCGTCCAATCCGTCGTCCCGGGACTCCTCGCCCAGCCGCGACCTTTCCCCGGCCGTCAGCGGCGTCCAGCCCGCCATCGTCATCCACCGGGCCGGGAAGAAGTACGGCTTCACGCTGAGAGCCATCCGGGTCTACATGGGAGACTCCAACATCTACAGCGTCCATCACATGGTCTGGGTCAGTACCGGGCCGAGCAGAACCGCTCCAGGACAAAACCCAACCACAGTTCTGCCTCTGAAACCAGTGAACACATCGAGCTTTCCAGTTACAGGAACTTCCAGGTTGTTTTCCAGGATGTATTTCCAGAAGCTTGATTGACAGCGTTAAGACCCGCCTCCTGGCTCCGATTGGCTGTTTCTGTCCTTTCAGCTCCAATCCTAGGAAATCTTTGTAGGATCTGAAGATCTTAACATTCAGCAAAAGATGAAAATGTTTCACCAAATTCAGACGATGCAAAACAAATTCCTGGATTTTAGTTTCTGGATGTGAAACTAGTTTTCATTTAATAAATCAGAAACATTTTCTAACTCTTTAAGTGCCTTGAAAGCAGTCGGCAGGTTGGAGGAACGGTGCTTTAAGTAGGACATTTTGTAAAACTGAAAGCAGGAAGTGCTGCCCCTGTCTGGGGCGTGAACTTTGACCCTAACTGACGCTCTCCCCCCTCAGCATGTGGAGGACGGCGGCCCGGCGCACGACGCCGGCCTCAGGGAGGGCGACCTGATCACCCACGTGAACGGCGAGCCGGTCCACGGCCTGGTCCACACCGAGGTGGTGCAGCTCATCCTGAAGGTCAGGACGGCTGCAGCCAATCAGAGCCCTGCGTCTGTCCAGGCAGCCAATCGGAGCCTTCGTTCATTCTGCTGTGTTTCCTCAGAGTGGAGCCAAGGTGTCCATTTCTGCCACGCCGTTTGAAAACACGTCCATCAGAGTCGGCCCCGCGCGCAAGACCAACCACAAGTCCAAGATGGCGAGACGCAACAAGAAGACGAAGAGCAAGGAGGGGCAGGACAGGTGGGGTCGGTCTGGGGTCAATCTGGGGTCAATCTGGGGTCACACCAGCTTTAGAAACTCCAACCTTGACGATGAGATGAAGGTTTCTGAGCCAGTAGCTGATCAGCTATTGATGAAAACTGATATGGATCAATAAATACTCATTCATTATACTTATCCAGGTTCTGGTTCTGGTTCTGGTTCTGGGCCTGGTTCTTGTCCTGGTCCAGGTTCTGGTCCAGGTTCTGGTTCAGGTTCTGGTTCTGGTCCTGATAATAAAGATGGCCGACTGGTTCTGGTTCTGGTCCAGGTTCTGGTTCTGGCTCAGGTCCAGGTTCTGGTTCTGGTTCTGGTTCAGGTCCAGGTTTTGGTTCAGGTTCTGGTTCTGGTCCAGGTTCTGGTTCTGGTCCAGGTTCTGGTCCAGGTCCTGGTCCTGGTTCTGGGCCTTGTGGGTCTCCTGCATTAGTCTGATGATGACGTCTGTCCGCAGTAAGAAGCGGACGTCTCTGTTCAGGAAGATCACCAAGCAGGCGTCTCTGCTGCACACCAGCCGCAGCCTGTCGTCGCTGAACCGCTCGCTGTCGTCGGGCGAGAGCGGCCCCGGCTCGCCCACTCACAACCTGTCGCCGCGGAGCCCCACGCAGGGCCACAGGTCCGCTCCGGACTCCGCCCACTCAGGTGAGTCGGCCGGACAGAGACCGGCTCCGGTGGAGGGTTCCCCTCTAACTGCGCCGCTTCTCGTCCCAGTGGGGGGGAACTCGTCCCAGAGCAGCTCGCCCGGCTCCAGCGTCCCCAACTCCCCGGCCGGCTCGGGCCACATCCGGCCCAGCTCGCTGCACGGCCTGGCCCCCAAGCTGCAGCGCCAGTACCGCTCCCCCCGCCGCAAGTCCGCCGGCAACATCCCGCTGTCGCCGCTGGCGCGCACGCCGTCGCCGACGCCGCAGGGCAGCTCGCCGCAGCGCTCGCCGTCTCCGCTGCCGGGCCACGCCGCCGGGTCGGCCTTCCCCGTCAAGCTGCACTCCTCCCCGCCACCGGGCCGCCAGATGTCCCGGCCCAAGAGCGCCGAGCCACCGCGCTCGCCGCTGCTCAAGAGGGTGCAGTCGGCCGAGAAGCTCGCCGCCTCGCTGTCCGGCTCGCCGTCATCGCCCGCCGCGGTGGGGGCGGCGCGGAAACACAGCCTGGACGTCTCACACTCTGAGTTCAAGAAGGAGATTCTGCAAAGGGAGCCGAGTCTGCAGAGCCTCCAGGTACTGAAACCAGTTTATCTTCAGGTAAAACTGAACGTTATGCAGCCGTTTTCTTTCAATCACAACGTGAACAAAATCCTTCTGATCACAGAAACAGCCTGACCTCTGCCCTGCAGTTTCACCTTATGTTAGTGACTCAGGTTTGGGTGATAATTACTAAACAGCACAACAGTCACTAATCAAAGTTCAAAGGATCAGACTAACCCAACATTTATACTAGTTTTTACATATGTACACAAATTTTGTACTGAACTACAAAATAATCTTCCAATAAATAAATTCAACGATTTACACAATTTCCATTCATAAAAATCATTCTGAATTAAGTACTGGGTTGCTACTTAAAATCATAAGTATATATATATATATATATATATATATATATATATATATATATATATATAAGGAACGACATAACCAAGTGGCAGGCATAGTGTACAGAAACATCTGTGCAGAATATGGACTGGAAACCCCGAGATCAAAGTGGGAAACACCCCCAAAGGTGGTGGAGAACGCCAGAGCTAAGATCCTGTGGGACTTCCAGATCCAGACAGACAAAATGGTAATGGCGAACCAACCAGACATTGTCGTAGTGGATAAACAACAGAGGAAAGCCGTTGTGGTAGATGTAGCAATACCAAGTGATTGCAACATCAGGAAAAAGGAGAAACTGGAGAAATACCAGGGCCTCAAGGAGGAACTGGAGAGGGCCTGGAAGGTGAAGACCACAGTGGTGCCTGTGGTCATCGGGGCCCTCAGGGCAGTAACCCCCAAACTGGATCAGTGGCTACAACAGATCCCAGGAACAACATCAGACATCTCAGTCCAGAAATGTGCAGTCCTTGGCACAGCCAAGATACTGCAGGACCCTCAAGCTCCCAGGCCTCTGGTAGAGGACCCGAGCTCAGAGGATAAGAACCACCCGCGGTGGGTGAGAAGGGAATTTTTTTTTTATATATATATATATATAGATGTGTATATATATAGATATAATGTATGCTGGTTCCAGACCAGGAGGCCCACGTCATATTAAATATTTCATCATTTAATATGTGAACCAAAGAGCCACTTGTGTCTCCAGAGATTCGGGTTGCAGATCCTGATGTAGCAGATGGGAAGTGTGATCTTAATGGACCACAGCGGCTGCGTTTCATTGGCTGATGCCCATTCTGCATCACATCGCGCGTAGCCGTGTCACAACCACCAGCTAATGTACCTGCATTAGTAAACACATGCTAACGTGGCGCCAGGCTACACTGTGGACTAGCAGACTGAACAGTAAACCAAGTAAACTGAGATACAGTTTTAGGGGGCTAAAACTGAAGCTAAAGCTAAAACTGAAGCTAAAGCTGAGGCTAAAGCTAAAGCTGAGGCTAAAGCTGAAGCTAAAGCTAAAGCTGGGCTGCATCTGCTACTGAACAGCAATAAACATAAAAACAGCCACGAATGAACGAGTTTGTAAAGTTGTCATTATAATTATTAATATAAATAAAATTGTCACTAATCTGCAGCCAGGGCCGTAACGCCCAACCTGGAGGCCCAGGGCAGGATGGGGGCTTTAAATCCTTCTTACAGTTTTCCAGACAGTAGTGGAGCACAGAAAAACACGCACTAATTACTAAAGATTTGTTCTGTTGTAACCATTAAATAATAACCTAATAACTGGAGACACATTGATGATGTAACTGATAACTTCAGATCCTTGTGATTTTCACAGGCAGCAGATTGTTGTCAGCAATTACTGAAAGTAACTAAAACTTTTAATGTAACTTAGTTTCTTTCCAAATCAAGTAACTAGTTACTAGTAACTACTACTTAGTAGTAGTACTAAAACTACTACTAAGTCTCAGGAGACACAAACAAGCTTCTGAGAAACAGACAATAATATGAACATCATGGATCAGCATAATAAAACAGTTTATGTTTTAATATTGAGAAACATATTTTTGTTTGGCTGTTTGCCTGTTGGACGTGTTTTCCCTGGATGTTTCTGCCAGTCATCACAAAGTGTTGCTTCATTCATTTGTCATTGATGACACCATGTGATCATTTATTATGATCATAAACCAGCTGGACCCTCGGCGTGCTGACATCCCTGATTTACACAGATCAATATTTGCACATCCAGTATTGATCACATGTTTATTGATCACAGGTTTATTGATCACAGGTTTATTGATCACATGTTTATTGATCACATGTTTATTGATCACAGGTTTATTGATCACAGGTTTATTGATCACATGTTTATTGATCACATGTTTATTGATCACAGGTTTATTGATCACAGGTTTATTGATCACAGGTTTATTGATCACAGGTTTATTGATCACAGGTTTATTGATCACATGTTTATTGATCACAGGTTTATTGATCACATGTTTATTGATCACAGGTTTATTGATCACATGTTTATTGATCACAGGTTTATTGATCACAGGTTTATTGATCACATGTTTATTGATCACATGTTTATTGATCACAGGTTTATTGATCACAGGTTTATTTTGACTTTCTGGCCAGCAGGAGTCGGGCGGCGAAGCGATGCTGGCGCCCGCCGGCCGCGCCGTTGAGCAAGGCAGCCTCCACAAACACGCCGCCGCATCCAGGAAGCTGGGCCGCCAGGAGGGCGAGGGCGCCGTCGGCATGGCGACGGGGTCGCTGGGCCTGACCCCTGGGAAGAGCAAGCTGAAGGACAAGCTTTCGGCCATCCGGCAGGACCGCGCCGAGCGGCGGGAGTCGCTGCAGAAGCAGGACGCCATCCACGAGGTCGACTCCTCCGAGGACGAGACGGACGACGGCTCCGAGGACAGCCAAGATGGCCGCCGCGCCGCCGCCTTCACGCCGCTGCTGAGGCCCACGTCAGTCCGGTCGGGCCCGGCGGGAACGCCGCCGTCCCTCGGCCGCGCGGACCGGCCGGCTCAGAGCGCCGCCGCGGGAAAACCGGACATGAACGCTCCGGACCCGGGTGGAGCCGCCGGGCCTGACCCGGTTCCCCCCAGCTTCTCCACCCCGGGCAGCGCCTTCATGTCCGTCAGCAAGCCGCCCCCCCAGGCCGACGCCCAGGGCCCGAAGCCCGCGGCGCCCCCCGCAGGCGGCGAGCCGCCGCGCGCCTCGCCTGGCGTTCCCAAACAGCAGAAAGAGGCCGACAACCGCCGGCTCTGCGCCGCCGCCCCGGCGCCGCCTGCCGAGTCCGGATTGGACCGGGTCGTGACTCACATCGCCACGGTAGCTAAGAGCGTACTGGGTCCGGCCAGAACCGCGCCGCCCAGCAGGGCGGTCTCCAGAACCTCGACCCAGTCCGACCGGGCCGGCCCGCCTGCCGCCCCAGCCTCCGGCAGGACGACGTAGTAGCAGAACCGGAGCGCCAGAACTGTTCTGACCCGGTAGATCCATCCGGCCCGGTTCTGACTGTTTTCTGTTACAATAATGTTTTGATTCCCGCTTCAGCCAAAACAACCCGGGTCTGGGGCTGCGGACCGAGCAACGGCCCGGTTCTGGAGACGGTTCTGTGACCCGTTAATGAGCGTCCAGAACCATCCGGACCCGACCTGGGAACCGTTTCACTGCGGCCCAACCGGATCAGAACCCTGACCCTAACCGCTCCGTCGTTCTGTTCCAAACAGAACCGACCCAGAGTTAGAGTCAAAACGTGGCGCGGCGCCACCTGCAGGCCGACGTTCAGATCAAACAGAACCTGAGGCCCCCTGCTGGCGAGTCTGAGCAACTGCAGCCGTTTCCTCAAAGATTCCCAGTAAATAAAAAATATTTTTTATGTCCCAATAAATATAAAGTTTAAAATATTGAAAAATGAAATTACATGCAGAACCTCTTATGGCCACCAGGGGGCAGCTCAGGCAAACAATCGATTAAATCACTTCCTGGTTCTGGGAGGTGTTCGTTTGGATCCAAGCTTCTTGGCAAACGGTCCCCTGCTAGCGTGCTAACATGCTAGCACGCTACGGTAACCGAGGCTTTAATGACTCAGCGCCACCTACTGGGGAAAACCCACTGTACGCTAACGTCCCTCTGGTTCTGTTGTGGTCCAGTCAGTGGCCTGGTTCTGGACCCAGAGCGCCCCCTGCAGGCCGGGCCGCTGTGCTTTGGTCTCCAGCCCCGTCCGCGGTTCCCTTTGGACCAACTCGCTGTGTTGCTGCCTCCAGTCCTGTGAAGTCACTTCCTGTGTGTGTGTGTGTGTCTGTGTGTGTGTGTATTTAAGCAGTTTTTACCCTGTGTGTGTTTTAGGGTCAACGTGTTGAGTTCTGTTCGGACCCGGAGCCGGTTCCGAGTCACTCTGCTTTTCCACATGTTCCGACCCGGCAGTCCGATGTTTACATGTCCTTCATCTCTTCCAGCGGGTTCTTCACGGCCCGCTTGGCGCCCCCTGCAGGCCGGTTCTGCTCCAGACCCGGGTGTTGGACAGAGCCGGTTCTGACAAGCTGCAGGAAACGGGTCGACACTGGACCTGTTTTTATTTTCTTTGTCACATTTGCCTCTATGTGAAAGTTTCTGCTCAGAGACAGAACCGAACCAGAGTCTGGGTCCAGGCTGACCGGGTCCAAGCTGACCGGGTCCAGGCTGACCGGGTCCAGGCTGACCGGGTCCAAGCTGACCGGGTCAGCTGCAGAGAACCTCAGAACAGATTTTATTCTGTTTTTCACTCAAACTGAAACTTTTTCTTTTGCTTCCTCCAGAATTGTCGGGTCGGGTCGGACTCTCCTGTCCGGATCGGGTTTTATCACAGAGGAAAGCAGGAAACGGAACCAGTTTGAGTGTTTTCACCTCTGCAGCCGGTTCTGGTTCTGATTCCAGTACCGGTTCTGGTCCCGGTTCCGGTTCTGGAGGAGCCGATGATCCGATCCGCTGAGGTTCTGGGAATGATAAGAACCCGTCTCCAGAACCGGAACCTTTCCTCGGGGAACGGCTGTTACCGACCGGGTCCGATCCGAAGCGGTTCTGACCCGCAGAGTGAAATCAGTGCAATACGTTTTGATTCTCTAATGTGGTGAAACGCATGTTGTTGTCCGCCGAACCTTGCAGTAATAAAGTTTTTTTTCAACATGGCGGCTCCTCCTTCGTCTGTAGTTCCTGTACGTAACCATGGTGACAAGGTGTTGCTTTTACCACCGACAGCAGCTGTTAGCTGTTAGCATCCCAGAAGCTTGAACTTTGACCTCAAACCCAGAGAAGTGAAGGTGGAAGTTGAAACCGACTCATCCTTCTGTCAACAGAAGATCTTTGGATGAACTTCAAGCTTTAGGTTCATTTATTGTGTCGAATGGAAAATGGCTGCCGGAGATAAAACCCTCAGGAAGTAAAACCCTCAGGAAGTAAAACCCTCAGGAAGTAAAGCCCGCAGGAAGTAAAACCCTCAGGAAGTAAAACCCTCAGGAAGTAAAACCCGCAGGAAGTAAAACCCTCAGGAAGTAAAACCCGCAGGAAGTAAAACCCGCAGGAAGTAAAACCCGCAGGAAGTAAAACCCGCAGGAAGTAAAACCCTCAGGAAGTAAAACCCGCAGGAAGTAAAACCCGCAGGAAGTAAAACCCTCAGGAAGTAAAACCCGCAGGAAGTAAAACCCTCAGGAAGTAAAACCCGCAGGAAGTAAAACCCTCAGGAAGTAAAACCCTCAGGAAGTAAAACCCGCAGGAAGTAAAACCCTCAGGAAGTAAAACCCGCAGGAAGTAAAACCCGCAGGAAGTAAAACCCGCAGGAAGTAAAACCCTCAGGAAGTAAAACCCTCAGGAAGTAAAACCCTCAGGAAGTAAAACCCTCAGGAAGTAAAACCCTCAGGAAGTAAAACCCGCAGGAAGTAAAACCCTCAGGAAGTAAAACCCGCAGGAAGTAAAACCCGCAGGAAGTAAAGCCCGCAGGAAGTAAAACCCGCAGGAAGTAAAACCCGCAGGAAGTAAAACCCTCAGGAAGTAAAACCCGCAGGAAGTAAAACCCGCAGGAAGTAAAACCCGCAGGAAGTAAAACCCGCAGGAAGTAAAACCCGCAGGAAGTAAAACCCTCAGGAAGTAAAACCCGCAGGAAGTAAAACCCGCAGGAAGTAAAACCCTCAGGAAGTAAAACCCGCAGGAAGTAAAACCCGCAGGAAGTAAAACCCGCAGGAAGTAAAACCCGCAGGAAGTAAAACCCGCAGGAAGTAAAACCCGCAGGAAGTAAAACCCTCAGGAAGTAAAACCCCCAGGAAGTAAAACCCTCAGGAAGTAAAACCCGCAGGAAGTAAAACCCTCAGGAAGTAAAACCCTCAGGAAGTAAAACCCGCAGGAAGTAAAACCCTCAGGAAGTAAAACCCTCAGGAAGTAAAACCCGCAGGAAGTAAAACCCTGAGGAAGTAAAACCCGCAGGAAGTAAAACCCTCAGGAAGTAAAACCCTCAGGAAGTAAAACCCGCAGGAAGTAAAACCCGCAGGAAGTAAAACCCGCAGGAAGTAAAACCCGCAGGAAGTAAAGCCCGCAGGAAGTAAAACCCGCAGGAAGTAAAACCCGCAGGAAGTAAAACCCTCAGGAAGTAAAACCCTCAGGAAGTAAAACCCGCAGGAAGTAAAACCCTCAGGAAGTAAAACCCGCAGGAAGTAAAACCCAGGATGGGCTCCACTGCTCCAGCCAAACAGGAACAGCAAAACAGATCTACGTCTCCATATCAAGGGTCTTTGGCTGTCCTGCCATGACCTTTGACCTTTAACCTGAGGCATGTGGAGATGGAGCTGGGTGACCCCTGAAAGGAACTGGTTTCTATCAGTCTGAAACGGCTGAACACATTCTGTGTTAATCCAGATAAAATAAACATGGAGGTCAGAAAGTTTTATTTTTATTATCTAGTTTTGAGGAAGTTTAATTTTGTACATGAACATCTTATTTAAATAACTCGTTTGTTGATCAGGTAGAAAGAAACTCGCAGCTTTTTGTGATTTTTGCTTTTAAAAACCTAAAAGGAATCATTTTGGTCCATTTGACGAAACGTTTGGAAACGAAACGTTTGGAAACGAAACGGGTTTATAGGGAAGAAGAAAAGATGAGGGTCAATTTCCACCTTAAAAATTCAGAAACTTAAAATTAATTTAATGAATTTTCAAGAAAAAAGATCTAATCAAAAACAAAATTACATATTTTCATCATTTAAACTAAATGTTTTCTGACATTGTAAAGGCAGAAATTTGCTACAGATTTTCTTCAGATATTTTTGTTCTTTTTTGTGAATTAATGTTTCAACGTCAGAGAACTTCTGCATTTTTTCTTGAGAATTTATGAAAAATAATCTGTAATTTCTGGATTTTTTATGGTAAAAATGTATTTGTTTCATCCAAAGTTTCCTCCAGAACCGTAAGAAAGTTCAGAGGATGATTTTTTCTTTTTCTTCTCCCTCATCCCTCCATCTTTTCCCGCCTCATCTGCGCCCTCTGCTGGCCGCTCTCTGTATTTCATCAGATCTCTGAGCACTTTGAGAACTTGAAGCTGTAATGACATGATTCGGTCATGTGGGGGAGCTGTCAGCTCAGATCAGTGGAGAATCAGCGTCACAGTAAAGTGGTTTATTATTGATGTTTTGTTTACTTTAATTAGGCCGATTATTCCGCAGTTAAAACAACGAAAATGTTTTTGTTTTTTTCTGTTTTGAATTGATTTGAGGGATTTAATCACCTCTACGTCCTGAAAGTGGGTCGCGGCTGAACCGGGCTTCATTCTGCCTGTTGGACATTTTACCCAAAATGATTCTTATTTTCAGAAAGTTGTGTGGAAGGACGACATGCTGCAGCCTTTAGATGAAACTTCCAGGATCTTCTGCTCCAACTGCAGGGCCGCTCCAAGGATATCTGGGGCCGAAAGCAGATTCAACTCGGTTCCTCTTCCTGTTCAGAGCTGCTGACTTGGTGCATTCTGGGAAAAGGGGCGGGGCTTGAAAGCAGTCAGAGGTGATTGGTTAATTTCTCAGATGTTTTAGTGAATAAACAGATTAAACTCGTAGCATCGTTGCTATGGCAACATAAACCTGATGCTTCCTGTAAATATTAAAACTTAAATAATGTAAAAGTTTTTCATCAAAGTATTTTAAGTTGGTTAAAGTCCAAGCTCCCTGCTGCCCCCTGCTGGCCGCGGGTTTGTTGCTCCGTCTCTTTAGTTTGAATTTTTTTATACGTTATTAAGAAAATATTCCAGGTTTTGAAGTTTCTGATCCATCTTTATTTTTTCACCCCCATCAGATCAGATCGGACCTTCGGCAGAAACTCGTCCAGCAGCAGCAGGTGGGGGCAGTACCGTGGGACGGGCCTGGCGAGGTTCTGCTTTAAAGTGGGTCGACTGGCCCGCAGCCACCAGTCCGTTGTGGTTCTGCGTCCCTCCAGGGGTCTAATCAAAGCCCAACTTCTGGGTTCGTTCTGAGGCTGCACATATTTTTAGACTCAACTTTTCAACCCGACCCGTTTCAGGAAGCAGAACTTCAGCCCGGCGTTTCCTCCATCCCCTGCTACAATCTGGGATTGGTTTGATCCGAACCCTGTTATCACGGTACTCCCTGCGTTCAGCAGCAGAACCCGACCAGAACCCGGTCCAGTTCGCTTCCATCTCTGGAGAAAAGATCCTGGACGGGTTTCCTGTTCTTCTGACTGAAACAAAGTCGACCCAGTTTCAGTTCCGCTTCTGAAATGGCTTAAAACCGTAACCCTACCCTTAACCTTAACCCTTAACCTTTAACCCCAACAACCTAGTTTATACCAACGAAGAAGAACCAGACAGGAAGTAGGAGCTTGATGTGAAAAAGAAACTTATTTTCATTTATTGTTTAATGCAAACAGCGATTTTCTCCCTCCTCTCCCTCTCCCTCCTCTTCCTCTCCCTCCTCTTCCTCTTCCTCTCCCTCCTCTTCCTCTCCCTCCTCTTCCTCTCCCTCCTCTTCCTCTTCCTCTCCCTCCTCTCCCTCCTCTTCCTCTTCCTCTCCCTCCTCTTCCTCTCCCTCCTCTTCCTCGCCTCGTTATCTCGGTGGCCTCCACATGAACTCTTCATCACAGCAACATGTTTCTGTTTCTCCCGCTGGTGTCAGAGTTTCTCTGTGAGATGAAATGAAACGCAGCAGATCGGATTTGCTCTGCTCTGCTGCCCCTCCCCCACCTGCTGCTGAGTCGGTGACCGGAGTTTGACTCCTTCATCAAATCCCCCAAAATAAGCGGCGGCGGCGAAGAGGCGCGAACGATCAGCAGCTGCTGATCGTTTGGAGACTTTGAAGCTCTTTTGGTTTTTTTAACATGACGACAAAAGTAAACATGGCAGACGGAGGAACCGGGTCGAACCGGGTCGCTCTGCAGAATAGAAATCAGATCCACACAGGAGAGAAAGTAAAATATTCCAGACACCAGAGACTGAAAACTGAAGAAAAGAAATAAAAGCTGCAGGAAACGACGACGAGAAAAACGAGTAAAAACCTGAAAACCGGGTCAGAACCGTTTCACTCGACTTTAGCCTCGTTTTCTCTTCCAGCTTATATTGACGCCACATGAAGATGAATGAATGAATGAATGAATGAATGGATTAATTAATGGAACTGAAAGGAAATGATGGAGTTCAGAAGGAACTTCAAAATAAATCCCACAAGAATTAAAATATGTAATCAAAAATAAATCAATTCACAGAAAACTGAAAATAAAAATAACCAAATATATTAATTATTGGTGATTCTGTTAAAAATGTTTTTATCAGGTTAATTGATTTTTCTCTTGATCTACATATTTCCATGTCAGATATGCAAATATTTTAGTTAAAATTTCTGGTGTCTGAATATATAAAATAAAACTTGTATTCTTATGGGTAATATTTGTATTTACTCATAGTTAAAATTTTCCTTTGGACATTTAGTTTTACTTTAACATTTTTAATTAAAACTTTCAGCTGATATGAGATCAGTAACATTTCTAGACTTTAATTTGATTAGAGAAAAATGTCAAAAATAATTGATGTACTTTAAAAATGTAACCATGAAACATTACAGTAAAGTTAGTTGTGATTTTTGGAGTTTAATTTGGTGTTAAATTGAGATAATTTGATCATGAATATTTAATCTGATTTTTATTTAAACAGCCAACATCTCAGTAAATCCTAACTGAAAAAGCTAAAAACAATTTTATACACTGCAAAACAAAATCTTTTTTTACTATTTAATGCAAAAACGATTTCATGCTTTTCTGCAAGATGCGACGTTTTAATTCAATAATTAATAAAACAAGTTTAACTGGCAGATTAATCACTTCATCTTCACTGTTTTATTAACCAACCCAGTTTAGTGTTGGATGTTTGGGAAACACCGGATAACAAGGCTCCGCCAGGGCCGTCCAGCAGCCGGGGCCGGGGCCCGGAGGCCCGGAGGCCCCCGGGGGCCCGGCTGTAATCAGGGCGCCGGCGCCTCCCAGTGGAGCCGCTGTGAAGCTCTGATGGAAACAGAATAAAATATTTAGAGGCTCAGGCTGGCAGCTGCAGAAAGATTAAGACATGAAAACTGGTCTCCGTGTTTTTTATGGGCCTGAATTTGAACTGCGGCTCATTTGCAGCTTCTGTTTTGGGGCCAAACTGGAAAGTTTGGAGGCGAACTTTCCATCAAACATCGACTGGAACCAGGAAGTCCAGCTGATTTCATGGCTCTGATCAAATATTCAACTCAACATTTGGATTCTGATCCGTTACCTGATCGAGATGATCAATTAACGCTGGATGTCGAAATGAGGACATCGTTTCCATGGAAACATCCAGAGCAGATTGGCGTCTTTGTTTTCAACCAGAGGAATAATTTCAGAAAATATGAAGAGAAAAAAACTCATTTAAGTGGCAGGAAAATCAGAATCGACAGTTTAATAAACATCTGGTTTCTGTTCAAACCAGCCCACATCATCATGCTTCCTCCACCGTGCTTTACGGCTGCCATCAGCTGATCAGACTGAGAAAACATTTCCATTAACTGAAATAAACATCGTGCATTCATAAAACAGACAATTATATTGTTGGTTTTCATGTTTATGAATCTATTAGCCTTTCAAACTGATGTGAAATAAAAATTTTTTCCACAAGTAATTTATGTCAGCAAATTATGGCACTGCATAATCCACCTGGCAGAAACAACAGGCTACGCTATGATAAGCTACGCCAGCCTACGATAAGCTACAATAAGCTACGCCAGCCTACGATAAGCTACAATAAGCTACGCCAGCCTACGATAATCCTGCACCTAAAAATTAACCAAAGTATGAAAAATCTTTGTGTGATTATAGATCATGAAGGATCTATAGATCTTTCAGTCCTTAACTGTTATTAAATATTTCTGAACACATTGAGGTTATGATGTCCAGAATCTAAATATTCCTAATTGAAACAGATTTTTCTAGAAATATTCATCAGTGACCAGTAAACATGAATCACTCCAACAACTGTTTGCATTCGATCAAATTATTTTCTTTATTCTGCAACAGAATCCAAGATGGCGGCGCTGCTGCCCGCGTTTAAACCCAGTCAGAATTTATAACCAGCAACTTCAGCACCGAAACAAGAAACCAAAGTGAAACTGGAGCCGTTCAGGAATAAAAAGCTTCAGCAGAAAACACTTCAGATTTTTTATCCGTACTCTTTCTCTGCGGTTAAATTTGCTCGTAATTCAAGTCAAGAAAACACCAAAAACAGACAAATAACATTTGTTTTCCAAAGACATCTATTAAACATTTCTTTTTTTGTTACACATAAAACAACAGTCAAGTACCAAAGATGCATGCTGGATCTGCAAAAGGGAAACAACGGGACGGGCGTCATGAACACGTTTAAAAATCTTTTTTCTCTTAAAATGTGACATTTCTTATCAGAGCTGCGCTGAGCGACGCGACGCCTGCTGAGAGTCAAACCCGTTCAAACCGTCGCTGCAAATAAAACTTTGCAGTTCTGCTGAGAGGAAACGGAGCGCTAACAGTCCTGCGATGGCGACCGGATCCGACCCGACGGCCGCCTCGGTTCCCCAAAAGTGGAAACTTCAACCAAACAGTCGGTGAAAAGTAAACTTGGTTAAACTGATTGTTTTGGTTTGATGCATGAACTTCCTGTTTGCTTTCAGTCCATCAGGCGCAAGAAGTCGCTCTGATGGGCGGAGCCTTAGAAACCCCGCCTCCCCGACAGAGAAACATCGCAATCTGGAGAAACATCGGAAAATCATCCGGCAGAAACTAACCGTAAGTCCCGAAATTTACTAAAATTTACTTCAATTGCAGTTAAAGTTTCCACTGAAACGACCAATTTTCAGAAAATCGTAATAGATGATTTGTTTATAAACTGAAGTTTATTATGAATTTATTGGAGCTGCTTCGATGATGGAGTATTAGGACCAAGTCAAAAAATATACAAAAATAATAAATTCGTAATATTATGGGAAATTATACTATTCTGTGAAAGTCACTGTAATGCAACAAACTAGAATTAAGTGTGAAATACCAGAACGAATCGAAACGTTTTCTGAAAAGTTGAACTGGTGGATAAAACTGGAATGTGGCAAATAAGGAAGTTTGAAAATAATCAGTACAGAATAAATAGTGAAAATGAAGTTATGTTACACAAAATATATGCAAATAAAGTCATAATAATGTGCAACAGTCAAACTCCACTTACAGAGAAGTCATGATGCATTCATGTAATAATCAGACTCAGGAATAAATTCCTAATATTCTGCAACTTCTGGATTTTCCATCTGGTTTGTTCGATGGTTCTGACGCTCCGTCTCATTTCAGCTCAGAACTTCAATTACAGGGCAAGTTTGAAAAAACAAAACGTCTAAAACTAACAGGAATCCAACATCAGACGACAGAAACCTCATTGTTTCATCGACATTTTTTCATGAGTTTTGATGAAACACAAAGCTTTATTTACGCGCTCGGCAGTTTTTGACGGGAACGTTGAACCAGATTCTGGACTGTTGAAACTTTTTTCTGCAGGATGATTTTCCCAAACAGATTTTTACTGCGATCCAGAAACTCAACGCTTCTTCTTACATCTGGAATAGAAATGAACCAGGATTTTACAGATTCTTCCTGATGCAACAAAAAAATCATTTCCAAGTGGCAAAAGCAAAAAAATGCTCTGATAAACTCAAATCTTTGGTTTAAATGTTCCAGGGATGAAAATGGAGCTTCATATAAACTAAATATAGATCTATATCTGTAGATCAGACATCACAGGTGCAGCTCCACCAGGCGCCTTAAAACTTTAATAAACTCTCATAGAAACACATTCAGCACTTCAAGTAGTTCCCATGGAGACGGTGAAGAGGTCAGAGGTCACAACAAGCTCACCGGATCAGAACCGGACCCAAAAACCCTGATTCGCTTCGTTTCCCCGCTGCTGGCTCGAAAACACCTGAGGGGGCGACGACCCGACCCGGTCCAACCCGACCCGGTCCGGTTTGACCCGACCCGGTTTGACCCGGTCCGACCCGGCCCGGCCTGTAGAGGTCAGTCACTGTGTGGTGGGTAACAGTCCTGCGAGACGGATCAGAACCTGTCTCTGTACATTCAAACGGGCTCAGAGAACCGGAGGGAAACGGTGCAGCAGAACCGGGTCGGTACTTTGTGCTGCTAGAGTTCTGCCTGGTTCGGTCCAGTCCGGTTCAGTCCGCAGTTCTGTCAGCTTCACTCAGCATGAAATAAACATTCACAGTTCAGCTCCTGTGCTGTGGTTCTGAAGGGCTGTGCAGCCCGACCCGGTTCTGACCCACCTGCCGGGTCCAAACAGCTTCACCACGGATGGCTTTCAGCTCCAGATGGGTCCAAAAACACACACACACACACACACACACACACACACACCTGTGGCTCTTTGTGGACTCACTGCATACGGGGGGAGGAGCCAGCGGTCATCAGCCAATCAGAGAGCCAGAAGCTCCAGTAGAAGGAGGCATCGCCCAATCAGCTCAAATGGCTCATTTAAAGTTTAAAACGTTAAATTAGTTTTAATTCATGGAGATCTAAACATGCAGAAAATATTTTAACCATAAACAGAAAAATTCACTTTAATGCTGAAAATCTATTTAGTTTTTTCTTTCGGAGAAAAGTTTCTGCTGTTTGTTGCAGTTTTTAACTTCACCACTAGATGTCAGTCCAGTTCAATGGAAACGATTTTCCAGAGTTTGGAAACGAATCCAGGAGCAGAAACTGTTTTTAATGAGATTTATATCTAAACTCAAATATGGTCTGTAAGAAAAACGGTTGGAATTAATAAGTTCTGCATATTTTAATAAGGAAATAAAACTCGTGTTGTTAAAATTCTAGTTTTAAATCTCATGAAAACATTTTCTGGTTTTATTAACATTCTGCTGCTGAATTTATTTCCTGCTGTCTGTTCAACCATTTGGTTCTGATTGTTTTGTTAAATTTAACATTTTAATTTAATGTTTCTGTTCTGATTCAGAAACAAAAACATTTGAACTTTCAGCAGCTGCTGTTTCAATTCAGTTATTAATCTAAAGTCAGATGGATTAAGACTAAAGTGTAAGAATCGGCTTCCAGCTGCTGCTCAGAACCAGAACCAGAACTTTCTGAACGGTTTTAACTGAAAGTAAATGAATAATATTTTTGTAGCAGGGCGTTTTGATCAGGCTTTAGAAAGGACGCCTCCTGTGGACCCGATGAAGCCCAGACCTGTGGCCCCGCCCACAACATGGCGGCCCCAGTGTTTCCAGACGAAGTCGATCGGGTCGGCGTTGAACCTGAAACATTTCTCCTCTTCACATTCACTTCCTGTGCAAATCAAGCAGTCCAGATGTAGCGCGGCGCCGGGAACTTCTGGTAAAGTAGATCTAGTCCCGCCCCCGGGGTTCACCTGCAGAGGGGGGCGTGGACGGGGTGGGCGAGGCGCACGTTGAGCGCGTCGTTGTGCTGCACCAGCGAGGTGAGGCGGTAGTGGAGGACCAGCTCCTTCAGGCTGCCGTACAGGAAGTAGGGCTCTGCGAAGCCGAAGCCGCGCGGCGTGCTGTAGATGACGCAGTGCTTCACGGCGCCAGACACCCTGCAGGGACGACACGACACGGGGTCAACGCCACACGGGGTCAACGCCACACGGGGTCAACGCCGCACGGGGTCAACGCCGCACGGGGTCAACGCCGCACGGGGTCAACGCCGCACGGGGTCAACGCCGCACGGGGTCAACGCCGCACGGGGTCAACGCCGCACGGGGTCAACGCCACACGGGGTCAACGCCGCACGGGGTCAACGCCACAAGGGGTCAACGCCACACGGGGTCAACGCCGCACGGGGTCAACGCCGCACGGGGTCAACGCCACACGGGGTCAACGCCACACGGGGTCAACGCCACAAGGGGTCAACGCCACACGGGGTCAACGCCGCACGGGGTCAACGCCGCACGGGGTCAACGCCACACGGGGTCAACGCCACACGGGGTCAACGCCGCACGGGGTCAACGCCGCACTGGACAGGAGGAAACTGCTCAGGTTCTGCTCCAGGAAGGTCTGGACTTTGACTAGGCCATTTGAGCTCCTTGGTTTTCCTGTCATGTTTCGGGTTTTGGGTTGTTGAATAATTTGGATTCCTGGATCGTCTGAATTGCTAGGCAACGCCGTTTCCTCCAATGGGATGTGTTCGTTATGTTTAATTAAACAGATTTTAAAGACAATTAAAAATGCTTTTATTTTGTATTTTACATTTGTAGGTTCCAGTGTTGCATGTTTCTGGTACGACCATAAATCTGACGCGCAGCTGCATGCGCTACATCGCCGTGAAGCTGCTTCTAGACCGTCTGATTGGACGCTGCACAAGACTGTTGTGTTCAAGTCGAGCTAAAAGAAGTTAGCTGATCAGCAAATCTATGCTAGCCTAAAGGTAGCATCTCAATGCTAATCATGTAGCAGCTAATGCTAATGTGTGTGGCGTACTCACACCACAGAGCAGGCATAGCAGCCCTTCTTGCTGCTCTCCCGGATCAGGAAGGCTCCGTCCGGCTTGCCGCCCAGCAGCTCCTCCGCCTGCGTCCGGCTCACGTCTCCTACGAACCAGCTCTTCTCGTCGTAGTGAGGCAGGCTCTCCTCTTCCTCGCCGCCTCTGCAGCCACAGAAACACACAGTGAGACGCCGCGACGCAAACACGGCCGCTTCCAGCCGAGGCGGACACTCACTCGTCGGCGTCATTCTGGATGGCGAGCCAGCCGTTGATTCGTTTTTGCCGCACTCCTTTATGGTTCAGCCAGCTGGAGGAGGAGAGGAACGTCTGATTACAGAGGAAGAAACTCACTGCAAAACGGGCTAACTGCTAGCAAGCATCTTGAAAGAAAGTGACTCAAATCCTGTTCCTACTACGAAAAATGTCATTAAATGTGGATGAAACAATGTTACTTTGAACAAAATCAAACTGATGTCACTTGATAGTATTGATTATCTTGGCCATCAGGCCAGCTGATTTCCCAGAATCCAAAGTCATCCAGAGGACAAGGCTGAAGATGCTGGTCAGAAGTGGAGCAGAAACCATTTTAGTTTTCTGAATCTCTATTTTGTCCCCACTGTGGGGTATCACTGTCACCAGCAAAATGCTTTTAAATGTCCCAGTAGGGTACTAGTTTGTTACATTTCTAAACTTCCCCTTCCAGGCACAGAGCTCAGTTTCCCAGACAGGAAGCAGCGGCGCCTGCTGCGTACTCACACCAGGTGCTGGTCGCGGATCTTGCGCAGCTGGATGATGTCAGGCTTCAGGCTGTTCATCTTCTTGTCCGTCTCGCGGTTCTCACTGGCCTGCGTCTTCAGGTCCTGCTCCAAACGCACCTTGCTGTCGTGGATCTCCCCCAGGCGGGACTTGAGCTTCTCGAAGTTGTCCAGGATGCGCTCCATGTCCTTGTCGCCGCTGCAGCGGCTGCAGCAGCTGCAGCGCTCCACGCAGTCCTGGCCGCAGCACTCCTGCGTCTGGCACTGCTCCTCGAAGATCTTGATGGTCTCATTGAAGGCCTCGATGGCCGTGCGCTTCATCTGGATCTCCTAGGAGGAGGAGCAGGACGTTGGGCAGCAGAACAACGTGAAGCGAAGAGATGCTGGTTGGAAACCGGGACGTTTACCTGGGAGGTCTTGGTGAATTCCTCGTACAGCCGGTCGTACTCTTTGCTCTTCTCCTGGTACTGGCTGTGGTATTCCTGCAGCTTTTTCCCCACAGCGTCGATGTTGTCCTCCTTCACCAGATGGTCCTGGTCAGGACACGAGACGGACGGACGGTTTGAGGTCAAACATTTACTTCAAATTAAACTGCAAACTTAAATAAGTGATGATGTAAAAACTGCTGCAGTTTGGACAGAAACCTCCCAGTGAGCTGCAGCCTACTACCCAGCATGCACCTCACCTGCTGGAAGCGGGACACCGGGTAGGTGAGGCGAACGTCCAGCGTGGCGTTGTACTGGGCCAGTGACTGGTGCCGGTGATGGCCGATGAGCTCCACCACGGAGCTGAAGGTCAGCGGCTCCGAGAAGCCGAACTTCCCGTCTCGCTGGTAAATCTTAATCAGCTTGTTGTTTCCTCCCTTCCTGAACGGAACCAGAACCGGAGCAGAGGGTTAGCCGGGTCTGACCCAGAACCGGGTCTGACCCAGAACCGGGTCTGACCCAGAACCGGGTCTGACCCAGAACCGGGTCTGACCCAGAACCAGGTCTGACCCAGAACCGGGTCTGACCCAGAACCGGGTCTGACCCAGAACCGGGTCTGACCCAGAACCGGGTCTGACCCAGAACCGGGTCTGACCCAGAACCAGGTCTGACCCAGAACCGGAGCAGACCCGACCGGGAGGTGGAGGCGGCGCCGGCGTACCTCAGGGTCAGGGTGTAGTCCCCCTGCATCCTGGTGGAGGCGTCCCGCACCAGGAAGGTCCCGTCCGGCGCGTCCCTCAGCTTCTCGTTCGCCTCCTCCCTGTAACCATGGCAACAAGCTGATCAGACCAACAGAACCCAGCAGAACTCCAGGAAGCTGACGCAGCCGCTCACACGCGCCCCCCGGTGCTCACACGCGCCCCCCGGTGCTCACACGCGCCCCCCGGTGCTCACACGCGCCCCCCGGTGCTCACACGCGCCCCCCGGTGCTCACACGCGCCCCCTGGTGGCCGAACCTCCAGCTGATGAGTTGGACTATTGGAGGCCCGTTGTGATTATTATGGGATGTTCTGTGTATGAAGTCATTCATCAGCAGATCTCAGTCATGCAGCTAATAGGCGCCGGATGAATCCACCGCCGGCGTCCCGCGGTGTATGGAGCGCCAACAGGGACAAAACTAAACAAATACCATTAAATGTCTCAGTAGAGGTCAGAGGTCAGGGTCCTCCGGGGTTTTGTAGTTGAGGATGTCAATGCCAGGTTTCCCCAGTGTATTATAAGCCTGGCAGCCCGCCATGCTTTATTAGCCCCACCAGGCTAAGCGTTGCTTGTTTATGTTTAAGGGAAATAAAAACATAAAAGAATTTTTTATTTTTTTTTATTTAATCCGGATTGCAAGCGTCCTAAATTCTTAAAAGATGAGTTTATAGTTGATGGTTTTAAATCCGGGAGCGCGGACAGCGCGAGGCCCCAGCTCTGTGATTGGTCCGCTCTCCCGACTTCTCCACCAATGAAACGCTGCAGTCCGGATTAAAATTAAGCAATTTTTTTGGTTTGGTTTTTTAATTAGTAATTTTTTAAAAAACAAGGAATGCTTAGCCTGGCAGGGAGGCTCGTAAAGCCTGGTGGGCTGCCAGGCTTATAATGCGCTGGACACAAGAAACCCAGCAAGTATATAATTAATCACTTTCATCCAATAAATTCAGCAAAAATACATAATTCTATATATTTATTTTTAAAAAGAGGGAAATAATTTAATGTATTTTTTAAGTGGTTGCCAGTTTGCCAATGGGGGGCGCCATTTTGTGGTGCTGGTATTTTGGGGTCAGGTTGAAAAGTTTGGGAACTCGTGCTGTGCACTGCAAAAACACAAATCCCTACCAGGTATTTCTATCTAGTTTATAGTCCTAATATCTTATTAAACTGAAAATAAGAAAACTAATTTAGAAGTAAGTTTTCTGCTAGAAACATGAGATTGTTTTAAGTCCATAATCACTAAATAATTACAAAAATAGTACCAATTTCACCAGTATTTATCTCCATGTTACGAGTGGAGGCCTGATGCTGAAATCACCACAGCGACCATCAGTAGCAGCAGGTTAAAGCAGATCATTTTGTTCCCGTGACTCAAAGAGCTGAGAGAAACCAGAACATTGTTCCAAACGTGAGCGCTGAGGCAGATCTACCTGGATATGTCTCCCCAGTACCACTCTGCTTCCTGCAGCGAGTCGCCATCGCCACCTCTGACCCCTGAAGAAGACGGCGGCGGCCGGGGTTTGGCTGGCTTTGGAGGAACAGCTGAGAGAGAGAGAAAGAGAGAGAGAGAGGGCGAGCGATGAGACACCTGGGAGCAACATGGGAAGAAATCAGCAACTTCATCACAATATGTTATGTTGATTTGCTTTGACTCTTCAGTGTCACCCAGACACTGTATTTTGATTCAGTCTGCCATCAATATGATGCAATAATCAATCAATCAATACATCAACTTATAGAAACAACTGAATGTGATTTGATAAATAAATGCTTCTTTCTCTGCTCCCTTTTCCTGAAACTCCTTACAAGAAACGTTGAAATTGACTGAATTTTTCTTGTTTAGCGCTTTTACTACCAAACTAAAAGTTACTAAAATTTAAAATACTAAAAATTGGATCTTCAGCAGAGGTGTGTTGATCGATCAGCCACCGATCATAATCGGCCGATTTCTGTGAAAAAGTGTTGCTGATCACCTGCACCTCGCATGGCAGCAGCTCATCTCCTCCTTCCTTCTCACTGCGCAGCAACAAATCCTAAATGATGTGAGAGGAACTATAATGGGGTCGTTTGCTATCCAATCAGAGCCAGCATTAGCCAGTAACCAATCAGAGCCAGCATTAGCCAGTAACCAATCAGAGCCAGCATTAGCCAGTAACCAATCAGAGCCAGCATTAGCCAGTAACCAATCAGAGCCAGCATTAGCCAGTAACCAATCAGAGCCAGCATTAGCCAGTAACCAATCAGAGCCAGCATTAGCCAGTAACCAATCAGAGCCAGCATTAGCCAGTAACCAATCAGAGCCAGCATTAGCCAGTAACCAATCAGAGCCAGCATTAGCCAGTAACCAATCAGAGCCAGCATTAGCCAGTAACCAATCAGAGCCAGCATTAGCCAGTAACCAATCAGAGTCAGCATTAGCCAGTAACCAATCAGAGCCAGCATTAGCCAGTTAGCCAATCAGAGTCAGCATTAGCCAGTAACCAATCAGAGCCAGCATTAGCCAGTAACCAATCAGAGCCAGCATTAGCCAGTAACCAATCAGCCAGCATTAGCCAGTTAGCCAATCAGAGTCAGCATTAGCCAGTAACCAATCAGAGTCAGCATTAGCCAGTAACCAATCAGAGCCAGCATTAGCCAGTAACCAATCAGAGCCAGCATTAGCCAGTAACCAATCAGAGCCAGCATTAGCCAGTAACCAATCAGAGCCAGCATTAGCCAGTTAGCCAATCAGAGCCATCATTAGCCAGTAACCAATCAGAGCCATCATTAGCCAGTAACCAATCAGAGCCAGCATTAGCCAGTAACCAATCAGAGCCAGCATTAGCCGGTAACCAATCAGAGCCAGCATTAGCCAGTTAGCCAATCAGAGCCATCATTAGCCAGTAACCAATCAGAGCCAGCATTAGCCAGTAACCAATCAGAGCCAGCATTAGCCAGTAACCAATCAGAGCCAGCATTAGCCGGTAACCAATCAGAGCCATCATTAGCCAGTAACCAATCAGAGCCAGCATTAGCCAGTAACCAATCAGAGCCAGCATTAGCCAGTAACCAATCAGAGCCAGCATTAGCCAGTAACCAATCAGAGCCATCATTAGCCAGTAACCAATCAGAGCCAGCATTAGCCAGTAACCAATCAGAGCCAGCATTAGCCAGTAACCAATCAGAGCCAGCATTAGCCGGTAACCAATCAGAGCCAGCATTAGCCGGTAACCAATCAGAGCCATCATTAGCCAGTAACCAATCAGAGCCAGCATTAGCCAGTAACCAATCAGAGCCAGCATTAGCCAGTAACCAATCAGAGCCAGCATTAGCCGGTTAGCCAATCAGAGCCAGCATTAGCCAGTAACCAATCAGAGCCATCATTAGCCAGTAACCAATCAGAGCCAGCATTAGCCAGTAACCAATCAGAGCCAGCATTAGCCGGTTAGCCAATCAGAGCCAGCATTAGCCAGTAACCAATCAGAGCCAGCATTAGCCAGTAACCAATCAGAGCCAGCATTAGCCAGTTAGCCAATTTCTCAAGAAGTTTTGATTGATCAGTATGTGCAACAAAGTCCTGATTGGAGCGTCCCTAATTATTTGAAAAACAAATAATCTAAACATGTTTTAATCCTGAGAAAATAAGTGGAATAAAAAAGGAAATACTAAAAATATTTTTCTTAATGGTAAACGGACCACCTGTTCTTTGTGGTTTCACTTCCGTCGTGTTTTATTTCATATTTTAACTGATCAGAAACAAAAACTTTGGTCACTTTTTAGACATCAGAGCAGAATTTAAACCTTCAGCCTTTTCTCTGGAGTTCAAAGTTCAAACATGGTTTTATCTTCCTGCATCGCCCGAAAAATGACGTGGATCGATATTTCTGCAAATAATAATCGGTATTGTTGCACCTCGAAGCAACATGGCCGCAGCGCTGCAGACGACTTCAGCAACGAAACAAAATCCAAGTTTTTCCTCAAACAGCAAAACAACAGATATCAGAAATTATTCCATTAAATTTTCCATTTACAGGTTTTTCCTGTCTTAATAATCAATAAATCAATTAATCTCATAATAAATTAGAACCCTCAATAATTGAGTGTGTGATATATTGTTGTTTTCTTCCGACCAAGAACTGGATGATAAAAGTTTCAGTCTCAACTGAACCTTATTTTGAAGGAGAATTGTGTTTACAGAAATTTCATAATTTATTTGTAGTTTCTGGTTTATTTGTTTATTTTGGATATTTAAAATGTCTTCTGGTTCCAGCGTCAAATATTGATCCGAACTAAAAGTTTATTGATCTTTGAGAATATGATGATTATTATATGCCAGTATCATCAAAAAACAGGGAAATTGTCTGAAAACACAGATATTATGATTTATCACTGTGATAACGTCTGGGAGGATTTATCGTCCAGAAACAGTTCTGACTGGCTGGAGCCACAAAGCGTGATGTCATCAGACGTATGCATGCTGCGATACACAGGAAGTAGAGGTTGCTAAGTAACAGAAAGCAGAGACGTCGTCCTGCCTGATCCAGAGGTTTGGACTGTGCTACCAGACATTTTGGCCGTTTCCATCTACTGCGATGCCTCAAAATAAAAAGCCCTTGATGGAAACAACCCGGTTTGTTGTGCAGCTCCAAGTCCCACCAGGTCGGTTCAGGTTCCATAATATCTGTCCCAATAGACACGTAATCAGTATCCATAGATAATGATAGAATATTCCACACCTTCACTGAACTCGGATCCAAAACCCATCAGTTTTGGATCCGATCGCTTCAAAAAGCTTCTGCTGCTCAACCTGCCACAGCTAGCTTAACCAGCAACAGTGATGCAACAGCTTGTTGCATCACTGGCGCAGCAGCAGTTTCATGTTTCACCACCGTGCCTCGTGGACAAACTTTTATTGTCTAAATAATTGATTCCTAAAATAATTTGTAATTCTAACCCGTTTAGCAAAGAGCTTGTGATGTCACAGCTTCAATAAATACATAGAAATGTTTCCTTTTCTTTGTTTAAAAAAACTGAACAATGAAAATGTTTCAGGACAATCAGCAGCTTGTAAACTTCAGGAAAACAAACCCATAATGAATGAATGAATGAATGAATGAATGAATGAATGAATGAGGTGAAGCTCGTTGACTGGAGGGTCCGTCCTGCGGCTCTGATGGAGCGCTGACCTCTGATTGGCTGCAGCTGCTGGAACATTTTGTCTCCTCCACAAACAATAGTTCAGAGTCAAAGTAAGACACAGCCGATCATCAGCCGCTGCAGCGGCTTCTCATTTAAACTAACAAGTTTAGAAAGTTTTCTGCAGTCAAGAACACTTGGTCACTCACACACACACACACACACACACACTCCTAAATTAATAAACAGTAATTATAGTTTAATAAAGTGCAAATCTCTAAACTAACTGATTTGAGGTTTGATCAGGAGCAGAAAACAGATGAACCAAAAATTGAACCCATGTTAAACCAGAACCGGGTCATCCTGCATCCGGACCAGAACCGCCCAAGCAAAGAACCACTGAGGAGCTGAAACCGCTTTCCAACCGGACCACACCGAGCCGAGCAGAGGGGAACAAAGGGGCCGACAGGCGGCAAACAAAGGAGCACAACACACACCGCGGCACGCACCCACACACACACACACACACACACACACACACACACACACACACCAAGAGACAAAGTCCACTGAAAAGAATCGGACCCAGCAGAACAGCTGATCAGAACCAGTTCAGTTCATGCTGCAGCTGATCAGACTAACGGATCAGAACCATGTTGTGTCAGCAGCAGCTGAAGGAACTGGACCTGGTTCTGCTGGATTGAAGCTTCAAACTGTCCTGAGCCCAGAAAGACAGAAAGTTCTGGAAGGGTCGGGATCATGTGACTCTGGATCAGAACCAGAGCCGCTGGAGGAACGAAGGTCCGAGTCCTACCGTCCTGCACGGCGCCATCCATCAGTTGCAAGTTGCCGAGCAACCTCGACGCTCTGTCGGACTGAGGAACGAACCGGGCCGGCCGCTCCTAAACCCGAAGCCTCAGCCAATCAGGACGCAGCCCGGCAGGAGGGGGCGGGGCTCTGAGGAGGAAGAAAGGACGGAGGAGGAGCTGGACCCAACAGGTGGGAGCAGAACCGGACCTGGTCCGAGCTGTGGAGCCGGACTGGACCCGGAGCCAGACCGGAGCAGGACCAGACCCGGACAGGACCTGGAGCCAGACCGGACCCAGACAGGAGCCGGAGCCGGACTGGACCCGGACAGGACCTGCAGCCGGACCCGTCTGCTGCCTGGATTTGTTGTGAGATTTGCAGCTGGTGCAGAAATGCTTCGGCTCCTCTAACCGGGCCTCAGAGGTCCAAACAGAGCAGCATCACATCCTCCTCCGACCCGATCACAGGGGTTCTGTCTCAAAACCATCAAACCAACCAACCAGAACCAGAGAAGATGTGGAGCAACAAAACGCTGCAGAAACTCAGCCGAGTCGTTTTCCTGCAGCGTCACATCAGGACGATCATCAACCTGCAGGAAACCGACCCGGTTCTCAGCGGACCTCAGCGGGTCGGTGGCGGCTCCGACACAATGAGGAACAAACGAGCAGAGGGAAGCAGGAAGACGCAGCGATCCGGTGACAGGCGCTGAAATATCCTGCAGAGAAAAGGCTCAGATGGAATGGATGGAGGATTTCATCCGGGTTTTACTCCGTCTGAATCCCCATCCCCCCTGAACGCAGCGCTGAGCTCAGAAAGATCCAGAAATGAAGAACTAAAGCTGCTGATTCACAGGAAACGCTGAACTATTTCACCTCCAATCAAACATCATCCAAATATTACAGATTAGTGCATAAAGTCCTGTTGAAGAGCTGCTAGCAGCTAACAGACGGTTAGTGTTAGAAACCCAGAATCAGGCTGCAGGGAAACAATCTGTCTCTTCAACAAAGAGCAGCGGATCTGCTGCTGTAATTTATGTAATGTGTGTCTGAACAAAGATCAGGCAGAGCAACGCATCCACACAGCCAGAAACCCAAACAGACCCAACATTTAAAGTCTGGAAACCAGAGAGCTTTATTGTGGGGCTAATAACAATAAAAATGAGAATTTTTATTGGGCCTCTCTACCACCTTATTTCAGGTAAAAATGACAAACTTCTTCCACTAAACATGGGTTTTTTCCACTGGTGAAACCTGCAGGCTGTTCAGGCAAAAGCATTTTTACCTCAGATGTTCAAGAATTCACAATCTTCAGACAAACCTGGGCTGGTTTACAGATTATTCAATAAAAGTTTGGGACTTAGGCAACTGACGTAGTTTACATGGTTTTAAAAAGCTGATATAAAGATCAGTTTATATAAATTCACTCCGTTTGTTAATCTGAAACAAAGCGCTAAAATGTATGAAATATTCCTTTAAATCTGTGAGCCGCCTCCAGCATTAATGGCGTCCGCAGCGGGTGAAACCTTCCGCTGATTCCAGGGGAACCGAACCGAACGCAGCACCACCTGCAGCCGGATGGCCCGTTCCGGCCGTGTCTCGTCGCTCCCGGTCCCCCGCCTACCTGGAGGCTGGTCCATCTCCAGGTAGAAGATCAGCTCGGTGGAGTAGGGCATCATCACGTCCCGCCAGCCTCCGTCCTCTCCGGGTTTCTCCGCCGTCCACACCGTGTTGTACATCGCTTTCAACGGGACGGTGAAAACGGCCGAAAATAACAAACCGACGTGTATAATTATAATAAAATCTGTTTAAGATATAAGTTAGTCTATCTGTAAACCTGCGAGTCGTCCGTCTGAATGCCTGCTTCAGAGTTAAATAAATAGGTAAAAAGCGAAAAGCGAGCTGCGGGCTTCGGCTGTTTTCTCACACATGCTAACAGCTCGGGGCTCTTCATGGAGGCCCTCTATGCCTGAACAGAACTCCGTTCCATTAAAACACAAACTGAAACCGGACCGTTAGCTCCATGTCCATCAGCGGTCTCCTTTCCTTCTCCTCCACACAACCCTCCGTCCCGTCAGCTCCATTTTTAGACGAGTAGTGAGCAATGGAGGCAGGCCTGGCGGAGTCACACACCGGCCGGACCGTACCACTCCACCGCGGAGCACTACGGTTTTAAAACATTGAATCTCGCTGAAAAAAGGTTGCAGCCAAAAAATTATATTATTTTAAGACTTTAAAAGGAATAAGAACTGAAGTTGTGAGTTTATTTGTCCACCAAATGGAGGTTTTAGTTGCAGAAGTGTTTTTAAAATCACTCTGTCACCCCTGGTTTACAGATCAGAGTGGGAAACCCCATATTCTCCCGCCTCCTGACGTACCAGCCACTGCGCGCATGCTCAGAGCTCCAGCTCCAGCCGTTGACCTCTAGTTCCAGTTCTCCTAAGAAATATATCTATTGATGAATCAGTTTAACTGTGGTTTTCCAGAGAGAAGTTAAAACACATCTGGTGTTAGGTTATTTCCAAACTGTGGAGTTGATTAATTTCCAGAAAGAACAATTATTCCCAAGAGGAAAACATCTCAGGTAGAGCCACTCTTAATATGAGTGAATATCCCAGCAGATTCAGCCCAGGTCCAGAGGATGAAGTTCAAAGATGACCAGAACCTCTGAAGAGCTCCATCACAGACTCTATAGGCCTCAGTTAGCAGGTTAGCAGCAGCTAATCTACAGCAGAATAGCAACGGCCTAGCTAAAGTCCAGACCCCAAACCTGATTGAAATGCGATTCAGAAACCTAAGCAGAAACAAATCTGAACAAAGCATAATGAAACAATGCAACACCAAATGCAAACACAATGAAACAAGATTCAAACTAAATTATCAACAAGTCACATCAAACCAGAGAAGGAACATCCTAATGCTAGGCTAACACAGCGGCTCAAAATACAAAAGTCTGTTTGGCTGTGGAGTGGGAGTGGTGGGGTTGGGAGGTGATGTGTTCACTGACTCAGACTGCTTTCATCACTTTGATAGAATCATTTTCAGCTGTTGTTTACGTCCAGATTTACCGTCTGACATCTTCTGCAGAATTACGATGCGTGCCTCCCGTCAATGACGGATAAAACGTAACCTGGTTCACATGCTTGGAAAGCTATTGGATGTGATTTAGTGCCACATATAAAAGTGGCACCAATTTTATTTTTGGGTGAAAACATTAGTTTGAGTCGTATTTCCTGCTGAACATAACCAGAGTTGATCTGAAATATTTTGGTGAGAATCTAAGAAAAAAAACAACAACAAATATATGAGGGGGTCGATTTTACTATAAGAAATGGACCTCGATCATTAAATAACTTGGAATGCTGTCGAGGACAAAAACATAGCAAATCCTGATGAGTCCATCCCTAATTCAGATCAAGAGGTTTACCACATATGCACATGCATGGCGCTGCTCCACCGCTGCGTTTCAAACACTTACATTTCCATGTGAATAAATACAAAAGAAAATTTGGTTTTAAAATAAAAGGATATATTTCAGTTTAAAATGAGTTTTCTGTGTGCTTTAACAAATGGTTAAAAACATCAAAGAGAGAAATTAAAGGATATTTTCTTGAAAAATAATCTAATTTTGCAGAAAAATCCCAAACGACATTAATTTCTTTCATGTGTTAGAACAGGAACTGGACCCAGTTGGTGGAGAACAACAGGACCCAGACGCCCCCACATGCTAATCTGCAGCTGATAGCATAATATCAATAAAATATCAGCTGGCATCAGTAATTACAGCCGCCCAGAGCGTCTGTGGCGTCCCACTTCAGGATGAATAAAAGCCTGCTGGTCTGAGGACAGCAGAGGAAGAGGAGGAGGAGGAAGAGTGAGTGTGTTAAAGCTGCTGTATTACGTTTTCTCCCAGATGGCTTGTGCCGGACCCTGAAGTATGTCAGGCAGGTTTAATGCTGCTGCCGCTGTGTGTGTGGCGCAGATGGGGCCCAACAATGACACAGGAACTGACTCTGGGCTTCGTCACAAAAAGAGGCGTGGGGGAATTAATTTGCCCCATCTGCAGCCGTTTAACTGCCCCGACAACAGCAGACTGCCCCGCTCTAAAAGCCCCCCAGTCACCTGGGTCAGTGCATCCTGAATGAGACACAAACACAGCAGGAAATGCATGACCCAGCATGCACTGGGCCTAAGGAAGTGGATTGGGGCCATGAATTCATAACTTTAATCTTCTGAGATCAATAGCATTAGCTTCTGCTAAATACCATGCTGGTGTAGAGCTATAGCATTAGATTTAGCTGCATGTCATGCTGGAGTTGCACCTTAGCAGAAGGTTTCACTAAATGTCATGTGAGAAAAGCTCTTCAGCATCAGCTTCTGCTAAACATGTTGGTATAGCATTTAGCATTATTTCCTGCTAAGGGCCATGTTGCAGTGGTGCTTTAGCATTAGCAGAACTAATCTTTATGGTTAGCACTTTAGGTTTAGCTTTTTAGCTAGCAGTGCTCACCACTGTTAGCTGTGACTCCAAGAAGCTGCAGGATTCTGGAAGGTTTTCTGGTCAGACGAGACGAAGACAGACGAAATGGAGCAGCTTGTCTGGTCAGCACGGTGGTTGCGGTGTTATGGTTTGGCCTTCAGTAATGGTGGGGCTTCTGATGACGGTAAACATCTCCAATCTCTGCAGATGTTGACCATCAAGGTTCCTGGATGGAAGCAGGAGTTTGGGATCCAAAAACCAGAAGAATGTTCTAGATTATTCCTGTTTTCATTCCCTAACCGAGATCATGCCGTCTGTCGGTGTGTTCACAGTTTTTAGTGTCAATTCATTTAATGGCCATTAAAAACAAACAGATTTTTCATTCTTGGGCCTGTTGATGGAAGGGAAACTGACCTTCTACAGATTGACGTGGTTTTGGTGACGGGTGATTGAATATGTCTCTCCTGCTCTTAACTGTCAAAGTGTCGCCTCAACAACAAGCGAGAGGTCAGATGTCCGCCAGCAGGTCCTGAAGAAACACTAAAGATAATTGGTTCCAGGTTTACGCATCAGTAATTCAACACGTTTTGCATTTTTAAGCACATCTAAGAGATAAAGACTTCTCATTAGTGACAGACATGAATCTGCAGATGACTGCATGGAGAAGAGCTGTTAGCCTATCAGCTTTGCTCATGTTTCTGTTGAAACTTGGAGCAGCAGGCGGATCCCGATGACGTCGCTCCGCTGTCCCTGGAAACGTTTTATGTTCCTGAAAAACCTCAAATCTCCGCCGTTGTCCCAGAAGAACAAGCAGTTCAGCTGTAATCAGGTCATTATCTCTCTGAGGTCAAACACCACCTGCAAGCCGAGCCAAAGCTAAAAGCCGAAGGTTCGTCCAAACAGAAACGTTTTACGTTTTCCAGAGATAGAGGCCGACTGATACGGCCGCCTCTGATGACCCACTGACACCTGGCGACCGCCGGCTTATCGGCCGCAGCTTCCAGTCTGTGACATCAAAACGCCACGAGGACGACTCCGCCTGGACCAGCTGATTAACCAGGATTCATCGGATGACCTTTGACCTCAGCGAATGCAGAAGACCCTACAGGATTAGGGAGCGTCTGAGCAGGAGGTGAAGGCAGCAGGAAGTAAATTAGCAGAGCCACCGGCTGACAGTTGATTGTTGCGTCAGGAACCAGAAACTCATAAAAAGTTTCAAAACTTTGTTCTACTTCTGAAGGTCAAACCAACGACCTTCCTCTGGCGCCTCCAACATCACCAAACAGCACAACGTCTCAGTAATCCCACTGTTCCTCTAAAAGGGCCTGCACCTTCAGACCTTTAGGTCTGGACTTTGACTAGGCCATTCTAACCTATGAATATGTTTTGATCTAATCCAGAGTTTAGATGAAAACACATCAGGTCCTGGAACATCGTGACCTTCATGTTTCAGGTCACATCAAGGTCATGAATGTCCTCAAAATGGTCAAACAAAGGATTAACAAGCTGTGAAAATATTAATAGATATTTGTCTGAATTTTATGAGAAATTAAATATTTGCTCATGTTGGTCTCCTCTGCATCCAGAAGCATAGAGACGCAGCATTCAGCTTCTATGCACCACAAATCTGGAATAAACTTCAAGAAAACTGCAAAGCAGCCGAAACCCTGACATCCTTTAAATGTGTGCTGCAGACCCAGCTGGTTAGAGCTGCTTCTAAACCATAATAAATTAAATATTGATCAATATATTTGATGCTCATTGATGATTTTGGTGATACCAAAATGTTTGTTCTCAAACTGGCGATTATATGATGGTGTGATAACTTTGTATTTTTGTGTTTTATTATGTAGAGCACTTTGAAATGTCCTGAACTAATAAACTTGATGAGGGATTTGCCTCTCTGATAACAATAACAGAAATCTTTATCCCAAAAATAACCAAACTCAGTTAAAAGTCTAAGTTGGACCAGATGTTTCACATCACAGGAATCCCAGAAAACGCCTGGTATGCACAGGGGGCAGAGGTCACAGCCGCCACCGAATAACTACAGTCTGAAAATACTGGAGACCCAAAGCAAGAACAACAGAGTCACAGCCTGAGAATGATTTTAAAATTATGAGATTAAAGT